CAAGGAGTCACTAGTTCGTTTCACAATTCGAACCGTAAATAGAGAAGTCGCTAGTTCGGTTAACAGTAAGAATAAACTGCCTGCCTTTAGGCTTGTTTTTATAAACAGGGTTTTACATAAGTGAAGTCGCTGGTTCGATTCACAATTCAAACCCGAAAAATAGTGGGCATGTAAAACACGTGAAGCAACCCCCGTTTTATGCACTGGCACTTTTTAGGACCTGGTTACTTTTACACCCGCATCTTGGTAACAAAAAAAAAAAAGTAACCGCAATTAGCAATTGTGGTTACAGCGGTTTCTGTTACGTTTGCACTTTGCCAATATTGCAATTTGCATATTTGTTAACATAATTCGATTAGTGCTAAAACCGCATAATTAAATGCGAATATTTATATGTTGTTGTTTTTTTTTTTTTAATATTTGTAAAATATTTAAACAAAATTAAATAACTTAACACGTTTGGTGGCCAGTCATTGCCAGCTTGTTGCCTCATTCAACGCGCATCAACACCCACAATTAGTCGATTATAAATTTATTGTGAGCTCCAAGATATATTTAAGCGCTGACTATTTATAGTCAACGACTAGCGATGAGCCAGATGACGCAAGCAGTTTGTAATGTAATTAAAAAGCGAATTTTCTATTCTTAAAAAGGAGATCAAGTATGTCGAAAGGCCATATCCACTTTCATGATTCCACAGAAGAATTTATGCTAACAGGCAAGTAGGCCTAACATCTGGCAAGCCGATGCCTAGATACCCTTGCCAATTATCGAGTGTGATGTCACTCGTTAACGCTGCCAGCCAATTAATATATATTTATTAGTTAATAGTTGACCCTCGCATGCAGCTACTTGAACATGCAAAGTCGGGAGTAGCCGAAACCCAAATCGAAGTACAATGCCAAATGCAAAAAATATGCTTTAATCCGGAGTGCCCGACTAGGGAATACCCTGTACCTTTTTGTTTATATCGATTTTTATCGATTGCTTGGAAGCGGGGTAAGTTATCGATTAACTGAAACAAAATTTTACTGCGTGAGCACTAGGAGGCTCTTCGTTTAATTTATCTAGCCTCTAGCTCTTGTATATTGTGATATCGTGGCGTTCATACCGACAGACCTCGGACATGGCTAGCATAGATACCTAAAAGGGGCGGAGAAGTGATATTCTGGCTTTTTAATGCATTGGCACAAAAAAACGAAACCCTTTTGCCCATTTTCAATGAGTAGAGGGCATAAAAAAGACCAGATTTGCATTGTTTGAAATGTGCCGATGTTCAATATTCGTAGCTCGTATTTGTTGCATGTTTTATTTATTTAATCAATTGTATTTATTTGCTTAACGATGCGTGGCTCTTGAATTTCGAATATGGCAATTGGTTTGCAGCTGATACCAGCTGAATCAATTACATATATATATATATGCATATATATGCCAAATCAGATCTTAATTCAATTATTTGTGAACTTGTGGAATTCGCTCCGCTCTAATAAGTGAAAGGGTCGTCGAACCGGAATTGGCTACACCAAAAAACAAAAAAAAAAAAAAAAAACAATGAAAAAACATTTAAATACTTTAAAAAAATATACAAAAAGCGAAACAAACACATCAAGAGACGCCTTAACAGAAATAAATTTAAGAAATATACAAAAAGTCAACTCAGTCTGATGATAAGCACAAAGAATCGAAACACGTTTCTTCTTAACCAAAAACTAAGTATTATATGGTATTTAGACATATGAATAAATAATGCAAAATGTGATCACAGTGTTAATTCTAAGACGAGGGTTGCCTCCAAAGTTGAAACACTTTATCATCTGCGCATATAAATTATAATATTTGGCTAATGAATTGGGCTGGACACGACACAGATAAACTAGTTTTTGCATTTGAAGTTCTGTTGATATTTGATATAGATTTTGTTTTTCTTAATAGTTTCGATTTTTCAGCAACTGGTTGACAAATGGGCTCTTAAATAGCATGTTGTGCCATTTAATTATTTAATGTATGCCAAGCTGATCGATAGTCTCGGTGTTGAATGAAATAAGCCCCAGCTAAGAAGGCGCCCAAAAAAAAAACAGACGCAATAAATTGAGACTCGCGTCGACTAATTAACTGTGAAATTGTCCAACTTTTATGCTAAAACCAGAATTGAAGTGCTTTAACAACTTCTCGCAGTCCGTAGTCAGTTCCCAGCTCACCCGTGTTCAGACGAATATAAACATATATTTAATTGAATTACCATTGCTCAAGTTCAGGCGGGTGGGCAGGGGAGGGATAGGGGGGTTCATCCGTGACATCGATATAGATATATATCAACTTTCGATTGATTTAAATTGGGCTTTAATTGTTCACAGAGACAATGCCTCAATGGGACATAGACTTGAACCAGAAACCCACTAATATGCATGAGTATGCAGCTAATTTTCATCATAAAAAGCCCAATCGGACGCACAAATTGGCATGAAAAGCTACAATAAATACGATGAAAACATTTAAATGCGGCATTAAACCAGTTTTACAATGACATTAGCATGTGGACGACAGCCAAAGACAAAAGATCACAATGTAAATATAACTACTGTCAATCTGGTGTGAGTGCTGTTGTGTGTGTGTGCGTGTGTGTGTGTGAGTGTGTCTGAGTGTGTGTGCAGCATCAATAGACCACAAAATGACAAGCCACGGACAAAGGCAACACGCGCTGCATGCAAATGTTGCACTCTTGTTGATTATTGCTGTTCGATTATTCGACAGAAACTTACTCGACTAACAGAATACCCTTTTCCCACTATTATATATACCCTTAAAGCACATACAACCCTACAACAAAGGAATCGCAAGCTTATAAAAATGTAATTTAATTAAGACACATGTGAAAAGCAAGATGTGCCCATATACCCGTTTGATATAGGGTATAAACTCTGCATGAACAGAGCCTAGAGTTACTTTTGCAGTTTGTTGTTAACTCAGACACGTTGGGCTGGACACGTGTGTGTGTGTTTGTGTGTGTGTAGGGAGAGGGGGTTCCCGCCTAAGATATGCATAAAGCAAATTCATTTGAAAACGAAAACAAAAGTTTCACTAATTGGCAGCCGAACTTGATGGACTGTATCTGATTGGGATTAGTTTCAAATGGCGCAAGTGCAGATATTTCTATATATAAAGATATAACTTTAGACAAAATAAAAATCAATATATGCATATAAATATGATTTCACCTAAAAAGGCTGGATTTTGCGAAACGAGCGAAACAATTTCTCACATATATTTCTATAAGGCTCTTTGGCAATCAAGTTTAAAGACCGAGAGTTTGCTCGCCTAATCTTAGACACACAGGTTTTACCGAAAGGTGTATGTACTTTTTCACACTTGCGGTCGAAATTTCCCACAACGCATGAATCGTCATCATGTAATCATTAATAACTAAATCACAAAGTCAAAACAAACAATTTCTTATAAATAGAGATGATGATTTTCGTGTCAATTAATAAGTAGCGCCCGCTGCTTGACCCAAAAACGCGGATTTCCGGCCGGCTTTGTGCCCTTTTGTTGACCAACTATTGCTGTTGCTCTGTGGGGCATTACACAATTTCAAGTTCAGGCCCAACAATGCCCAAAAGCCAGACAATAAATTACACCTGTTGCTACCGAATAACGATTACCGAATATCGTATACTCGTAGCACTTGCTGCTGCAGCAATCGGCGCTCTTTAATCTTGCGGCCTTTCAGACAGGGGGGTCTCATTTGAGGTCTTTGGCTCCAGCTGGGCCATTGAGTCATGAGATGAACCGAAAATTAAATGTCAAATGTGATGTGCCGATGTGTGCGTGTGGATTTCTGCTGTTGCCAGAGACTTTTGCATTTGGAGCGACGAGTGCCGTCGTTGACTTCGCCACTGATATTGACCTTGGCTCTGAACGATACGAATAAACGATTATACGAGCACACTCAGGCATATAGAGCACTCGGATCTATGGAGAAATCTATATTCAAAACCGAGACAGTTGGATTGTCTTCTTAATCATAAGTCTATTTTATGGTTTTTTGTGTTTTTGTTTTGTTTTCCTACAGCGGATGCTCGCTCGACAATTCTTTGCTGTTGTTCCACTCTCTTCTCATTTACAACGTCAAGTGATATATATTTTGTATATTTTTTTTGTTTGGCTCATTTCAAAGGGCGCCTTTATTATCTACGTTTCAAGTTCAAATTTGTATACCCTCTGCATATAACAAGTGGGTATGTCAGACTATTATCTCTACATCCCTCTCTCTCACGCACATTCTCTCACTTCCATTCTTTCTTTCCCACTCTGCCCCGTCTGCTGCCTTAACTCTTTCTCTATTCATCCGCTTTCTTACACTTTCTCCGTCCTACCTTTTCCAAATATCGCCCTTCTATGCGATTTTCATAAACCTAAGTAAAACTTTCTGGATTTTTACGCCTTTTTTCAAATGGCGCCTTTCTTTGCAATTCTCATAAGCCTGCATGCTTTGATTTGCTTAGTATATCCAATGTTATTTCTAAATTTTATCAACTAGGTATCTCTAAGCCTGGTCACTCTCAGCTTGAACTTGCTTTCAACATATTGTTATGAATTCATTAATGTATTTTTTTATCATTTTGTTATGAGTATAAATAGATGAGCCGTGCGGGCACAAGTGTTTACCATTAATAGACCATAAAAGAAATATAAACTATTCCAAGCGCTAATGAAAATACCCGAGAATTCTGCCTTTTACAAATAGACATCATAAGAACGCGTATGTTTGATGCTAATTACATAAAGATAAATCGCATATCTAATGGATGTAACAGCATATTTGCGTAATACGCGGATTTTTCCCATTTTATATGTGCTTTTAATTAGCTGAAGGCCCTTAAATAATGCGCTTTACTAGCGCGATTATTAATATATGATTTATTTAATTATTTAGCGCTTGGCTATTAAGTTAGTTTGGAGTTGCCATAAAAATAAAAATAGCCAAAGATACGTGTAAATAAGTTATAAAATTAAACGAGCTTTATTAAGTGCAGGTTATAAATATGGCCAAGAGCCAGCGGAGGCTGGCAATCAACTAAGGCCCGAACTGGCAGCCAATAAATCGCAACAGGCAGCCACGCTCAGAAACGAGCCCAGCGTCAAAGTCGAAGATTATGTAAATGGCCCCGGGGGCAGCATTGGAAACGTGTGAGTGTGTGTGTGCGTGTCTATGAGTGTGTGTCATGTGCAGTTATGAGTGGGGCTTCACTAGAACTGTGGACAATATGTAGACGGAGTTGAAAAATTATGCAAAGCCCAAACGGAACCTTGCCCTTGAGTCGCTGCCTGACTTTGAAGTGTGACCAGCCTCACTTCCACATCAGCAACAATATGCTGCCAAATTCTCATAATGCTTCGTTTCGTATTTGCTGTAACCAGAGATTGTCTTGTTTGAAGAACGATGCGTTCCAATCCGAAACTAACCTTGTGGCCAGATGCTGTTGGCCATCAATAACACTCCACCAAAAAGCAGAAGCACTCGCCCAAAAATAGAATGGCCAGACATTGGAATGGATTTGTCTACGGTGTGTGTGTGTGTGTGTGTGTGTGTGTGCTTGGGTGTGCACACTTTTATAAACATGTATATGAATGTATATGTATATTTTTATCTCCAGCTAATTAGACATGCATTTCAAGAGCGGACCACATATCCAGTTGATTTATAACCAGGCGACGACAAGCAAAACGCCTTTATCCAGTGTGACCAGACTGCTTTTCACAACTTTCGCACATTATTTTAATTTTTTTTCCTTTTGATTTGCCTGCTATGATAATCTACTCATGTAAGGCTCTCGCACATGAAAAGCTACAGCTTATATATTATATAAAGTCTCTTTTCGAAAGCTGCGCACAATTTCGAAGGAAATTACAGAGTTAGAATAAAAAAATCCATTCAGAAATTGCGCGCGGATTTATAATCAAAAAAATGTTAGAGCGTGTCCGACCAGAAGATACCCTCGGCTGCCTTCTACAGTCGCATACTATTTTCGGGAACTGCACTCTGGAGTAACTTCTGAGTCTATTGTCCGATCTGCATGAAATTTTCAGGACAATAAGGCACACAAAAGTGTGCATATACCGAGACTTTACCTTCAAAATTTAATGATTTATATAATATGAAAAGAAGTAGGGGGATGTAGCCAAAAAGTAAAATATTCTTAGTCTAACAAGTTTGGTGTATCCAGCTTATATATTTTTCGAGTGATGCTTTTAAACATGTCTTATAAATCTAGATTTATCGCAATTATTAAAAACGGGACTAGATGTTGAACAAAAAATTATAATCTTGTTCTGTGTGTGATACAAGAGAATAAATATTAAAGGTTTGCCAATGCTCTTGCTACTATTTTACGAAGTTATATGACATGCAGATAGATTTGGCTTGATCGACTTAGCTTGTCGTCCCGTTGTATCCTTTAAGGAAATTTGCATAGCTACATAATGCCCTATGTTCCCATTTTTAATGGGTTTAGTGTATATAAAAACGGAATTAGTGAAAAGCAAAAATGTCTCATATTCATAACATGCACATTTTTTTTAGCCGCAATGCAAAGCATTCGCAGCTTAGCTCACACAGATACAGTTACAGATACAGATACACATGCGGCTACATCTGCTTTTTGTAGTGCGCTTGAGTTAAGATTAAAAAGATGAGAAAAAAGAGGACCTGCAGTTGCATTTAGTGCGTATTTGCAGCACTTGCTCTGGCTGTTGCTCTGGCCAAGTGCCACTAAAGTGCATGAGGACATAAATGCGGGGTTGTGTCTAGTTTTATTTTTCTAGTTATTTTTTGCTGTTCCAACATGCTCAGAGCCTGCTGACAAGTGGCACTTGGCCTAGCTACTCATATTTTGTAGTGTTTGTCGTGTTTGGCCACAATGGAACAAGCATCTATATTGTCAGCCACAATTTGGGGCAAGCTGAATATGGAGCTGCCAAGAACTAAATCGCTAACGATTTTTGGATTGAAAAGCCGACTTATATTTGTTTGCCGTTTTATTATTCGTGGAAAAGCAAAAGGCGCGCGCTTTCCACATCGCCGCCAAAGCCATGCAATTAGGCGTACAAAAAGCGCGAATAGTGTGCCTGCAATTAACATTAACCCACTGAGTTTTTATCAGGCACACACACTGGCACACGCTCGCACACACTTGCTTGCTCATAATAATATGGCATTAGCGGAGTTCAGCCGCATTAATTGCAAAATGTGGCCGCGCTTGGGTCTCTTGTGTCTCTTGTCGCAATCGGGCATTGCAAAATGTCGCTTTGGCTCTTACATTGCCCGACTAATTAAAGGTTTTGTGCGCACTAATAACGGCCATTCGGAACACCTCAATGACAACGGCGTCGTCTGCGGCGAGTGTGCCGTCAAATTGTGGGTGCAACGGGCCGTAAAGTTGCCACCAATTCCCACATCATCAGCATGAGCGCCGTGTTTCGACCATTTAACATCTGCACTTTGATAATATTTCTTTTAGATTTGAAAACCCATTCATGAGTCAAAACCCCTTGCATAATGCCCCCCCCCCCCCTTTAACCCACCCCACACCTCTTCCTAGTTTTGTGAACATCTTTGACCTTTTCTTTGGCGTCTGCCTAGGGGCGGGCCTGCAATAGTGTTGAGCTGAAGTTTTTTTTTTTGTTTAACAAGGCGTTGGGACAATGTTGCGTCTTCAGGCGGCTTGCAGCGTTTGAAATGCCTGCAACAATAGCAAGTGGCAAGATGCCATAACAACAACACGCTACAAAGATAGCTTATTGTCTTTCAATTTGCAGCCTGCTTTGCCTTGCCTAACATTAACATTAGCAAAAACTGTGCGCTACGCATAGTGTCACAGATCAGATATTAAGTGATCTATAAACATATAGCTTGCTATATAAGAAGCTACTTTTCGCACAATCATTCTGGGGTGCGATTTTGATTATGTCTCCTTCTGTGCGTTAAATAGTTCTTCATAAACTTATAATAAACGCTTCCTGTAGAGTTTGATACGCGGTTTAAGCCAGCTTCCTACCCTTACACTCCGTTCGTAATTTGTTTTCCACAGTCTTCAACTTAAACTTAATTTTGCGAAAAGCAATTTCGGTGGTTCGAACCAGCTTTTCGCGGTTCGTGAACCTGTTTTGCCACATGGCTAAATTTAGGTTTTCCTCCTGGCGTTAAAGTTGACGTTTTTGATTAAATGGACAAGCTTTTTATTTGGAACCGAACAATTCTCGAAAAAGATATTTTGTGTTTTGCTTCGGTTGTTTTTGAGGTAGTTTCTTTGGTTGAGGTTCGATTTCTAGTACAAATAGATTTAAATATATAACACACATCTATCATATATCAAAGCAAATATTTCTTTTCTATTACTTGAGCCACTTTGCCCCAATGTGCGTTTGAAGATAAGGCGTTATATTTATTTTGCTGTTGCTGCTGTTTTTGTTTTAGCTTTTTTGTGGTTTTGTTTGCGACATCGTTTTGCAATGCCGAGTGTAAAGTAGATATAGATAAATAGTATATCTATTGTGATTGCCGCCCGTTTTTTTTTTTTGTTTTTTTTTTGTATGCATGTAGATTGAGTCTTGTTTGGTTAGTCGCTTTGTTTCGCTGATCGACGACAAGTTTGTCGCCCAAGTCTTTTGTTTTAGGCCGCCGCCGCCGGCTATTGCTGCCTGCTCGATAAATTCAATGCATATCAAAACTAAAAGTCAAGTTGAGGAGGAAGAGGGCACATTCGGAAATTGAGTAGTTTGCACGCTTGTTACTTATTATGGGCCACAGAGTTTGACGTGTGCCTCCATCGAATGATGTCTCTGTTTGCGCAGCAATTGACTCATCATCCAAATGAAATATCAAAAGCTGCCGCGGGCTGTCGCCGAAAATTGTACTATAAATAAAAATCCTCACGTCTCTGGCTAAACATAGTTCTGTGTGCTTCAAGTAGCTGCCGGAGCAGCTTGAGCCTCTTAATTGTTCGTTCATGATGCGAATAAGACAAAAATCAATTTTCGAAGAGATACAGCAAGCCACATGACGGCACACTTTTGGCATTTGTTTGCCCGACGTTCACAACAATTTATATATAGCTTATATTAAGTAATAAATTTATGCAATATTTGCATATTTTCTGTTGTCTGTCATTTGCCAGGCTCGTGAGGTTAAAGAACTGCGGCATGCTTCACAGACTGCCCATCAATAAGGGGCCCTCAAATGAAGATGGATGTGACGCTCTTTCAGGTCCAAGTCCAGGTCGAAACCTAAATTACATTAGGCCGACTGACTTGCTGCTCCCATTGCAAAGGCAACAAAACATTGGCAACTACTTTTATACCCTAGCAAATGGCGTTTAGACGAACCTGACTAGAAAGTAGTTGGAATTTGGTTTTACTAATGCAAAACTCACCGGGTATTTATTTGCTGTAGACTAGGGTATTTACTTGTCGGTACTTCGCCTGCACACATATCTTTCACGTACATTTTCTAGTTTCCCTTGGTTGTTTTTGCTTTAGTTGTTTCTTTTGGTTTTTCACCTGCCAACTGGCAACTGCTGTAACTTTGAGTTGTCACCAAAGAGAACTAGAAAAAAAAAAAACTTGACTTGAGTTTCCAACGAGCGTTGACCATGGCACAAATGTGCATCGGCATCGGTGGCATCGTCGTCATATGGTAACACGACCGATGATTAATTTGCAATTATTGCTATCATTAAGTGTGCGGTTGCAGCGGACACAGCTGCCACAGAAAGAAATCAAATGAGGCATTTAACAAGAAAGAACGAGCACATTGAGCGTGCCGAATCCAAATACCCTTTCGCTTAACAGTTATTGCTTTGCTTACGGACGATATCTTGAATTACAGAAAAGTTGGGCACACAAAAACTCATTTCGATCGATTTTATCTATCCCATAGAGACATAAGATATGGTAGCACGATAATGCTAAGGTATGGCTTACTTATGTGTCGAAGGTCGTAAATTCCAAATTTGTTTATACTAGATCACAAATATATATACATAATTTTATCGAAGATGTTTGCATAGGAACTTGAGGCCCAACTAATTCTAAGCACAAAGCGAATAAAGTTGTAGAACTCGAACTCAAGCAAAAGAAAGTTGGCAACTTGTTGCGAGCTCTTTGGCTGGGAATGTGAGAAAAATATGTGAACCTGCCGCCTCCGATTACCGCACAAATCATCAGGGCTCCCTTGCTCGATCCTCTAGAGAAATGATGAAGCTGTCAGCGCGCTGTGTCTGCATTACGTGTTAGCCTCTCGGCGCACTTATCTGCAAATCTAACTGTCTATCATATAAGTATATAGCCATCAGTCAGACAACAGACAGCCACACAGCTGGGAAGCCGTGCAGTTGGGTAGTTGGGTAGTTGGGTAGTTGGGCAGTTGGGGCTGGCTTTTACATAAATCGCTAGCACTTGGCTCGTGAATTTTCAATTTTCGAATTATGTGCCGAAATGACTGTGGAATATGGCAGTTGCGATTGCCGGAAAATACATGCTCATCGTGGGTCAGTCAGAGATTTTCAGTGTAGTCAGTTATCAACCGAACAATTTGCCAGACGCGCAACATTTTGGCCATAAATATGCTTAGGACGTGGGCTGCATTATGCAATTGGCGGCAAGTGGGGGGCGGCAGACCTTTTTTTTTTGGGGTCGGTTCGTGTTGCCTCAGCAACTGCTAATTAATGCACCGCCATGTGCCAACAGCAGCAGCAGGCACAGTGCCTGCCATAAGCTGTCGCCCAGCAAAAACCATTTTTAATAGAACCTCGCAGTAAACAAATCACAAATGTGTGCCAAAAATAAAGCTATTTTTTTGCTTTTAACTGTTCTTAAACTTGAAAATCTTTCGGAAAATACAATATTCTTTTTAAATTTTGTTGCAATTTTAGCTAAGAAAGCTTTAAAAACTGAAAGTTTAAACATTTGTTGGTTCATCCATTTTATTTTATATTTATAATTACAATTTTCTAATTTTCGAATCTAAATCTTTGCAGTCAAGACTGATCCGTAGCCCGTTTGGGAGCTGAATGTGTTTGTGTGTGCTTTGACCATGCCCATTTGCAAAAGTTCGCCGGCAACGGCAACGAGCAAGAAAACCGCCGCGGACATATCAGCCGATCATGTCACGGAGGCGGCCCAGGTGAAGCGTACACGGGAACAGGCCTATTTCAATTCGTACGACTTCGATGCAATCGAGGTGCTGCCCTACGACGAGGAGGACGAGGACGACGGTCTGCCCGGGGGCAGACACAGTCGCGCCAGCAGCGGACGTTATTCGGTGGCCAACGAGAGCAACAGCAGCGGCAGCCACACCAAGTTCGCCTATCTGCACAGGCTGGGCGCCTTCTTTGGCCAGAAATCAGCTGCGGATGGAGCAGGTGCAACGGCGGGCCATAACACTGGAGGAGCCGGAGCTACTCAGGAGCTTGGTGGCGTTGCCCTCGCTGCTGGGCCAACAAATGATAACTTTTTGCTGCCACGCGCCATGCTGAAGTATCCATATCAGAGGTAAGTCTTGACAGCAAGCTATAGAACCAAGCCGGTTCAATTACAGAATTTTTATTTATTATTCTTTTAATGAACTGCAACTTAAAACAAAATAGATAGATCGAACCATATCTCTTAATACTAATACTAATACTAAATAATACTAAACTCATTGACAATGCATAGAGCAGAAGTTAAAGAATGTTATCCTGTCTTTTGCTCTTATACATAAGGAATTATCTCCGAACCGTAAAATAGTTCTGCGAGTCATCGAATAATTCTTAATCAGAACGACAAGCTCTTCATTAACTACAAATGGTAGACACGTAAAGTGCACATTTTTTTAAATATACGCAGAACAAGCTCATTATTGTATGTCGTCAACTTATATGTATAAGATCCTGCTCTGTAGGCACTTGTAAGCACACAAAAATTATAAATATTTCCCTTTTTGGACTTAACATTTTAAAGCTAAGCCCTTGCGCCTTGGCATACACCAACGCTTGTTTGCAGGAAGTGGTTGCAAGCCGTAAACTCTTTTGTTTTGCTTTGTTTTTTTTTTTTGTTTTATTTTGTTTTGTTTTGGCTTGCAACAGCATCAAATGTGCAGCAACGGGCAGCAGCTGGCCAAGAGCTGCGCTGACCTTCGCCTCACGGCCAACAGCCGTCGAGTGGCCCTTTTTGCTGTGGTCGCAGCACAGTCATTACGCGCCCAAGCTCTCGACAAATCTGAAACGCAATTTAATTATGTTATGCCAGGGCAATTAGCGCGGCATTAAGCTGATTAAAAACTGGCTATTGTGGAAATCAAATGCTTAAATTTAACACACTTAAACAGAGCCATTTCAAAGGGCCACACAAATATTACGCATACGCCAGGTATGCTGCCCGCATCTGCAACTGCAGCTGACAGCTTAGTTTTAAGCTTGCAACAGCAGCCATGTAAATGAAGCGAAGTTCAAGTTGCATGTGGCACGTTGCAATGCGGTTTTTGGCGCCTGTCGTCAGCCTTCACCTCTTTTCAGCGACAGCAGAAGCCACTTGACTTGCCAAACACTTGACGTCGCGTCGGTCAACAGCAACAACAACAATGAATGCAACTGCAGCCAGCTGCAACAATTACGTTTATTTATTGAAATTAAAGAAGCCACATATGAGGCAGCCTACTGCTGCTGCCGCTGCTGCTGCCGCTGCTGCCGCTGCTGCTGCTCCTCTGCTGGAGGTCACAGCCAGTTTTGGTTTGAATTATTTCTACATACATAACTAAACGTGCATATGTACATTCATGCATGCATGTGCAAGCGAAAAGCAAGCAGCATATAAATATTTACATGTGTGCCATCAAATCGTGCAATTTATTGTAAATAGTTTTTGTTTTTCTATTCACCTAACGGGTGTGCACGACTAGCAGATACCCTGAACTCTGTCCAGCTGCCGTTACACACATGCTCGCCTTCTCTTATACATACATATAGCAACACACATACACATATGCATAGTCGGCTGGGGTTCTTCTTAGCTCCATGCTATGGGAAAGCAGTCTCAAATAACTTCGGTGCTTATTGTCCGATCATTAAGCATTTTTTAGGGCTTGAATGTGGTATGCTGAAATGTGCATATACCAAAAAGCAAGGGTCTACCTTTCAAACTGAGCTATATTTTTTTAAGTTTAGAGTATTGGGGGAAGGTAGTATGATGTAGGGATCAGATTCAGTTAAGGACAAATTTACAATATACTCAATTCAAAGCTAAGAGACTTCTTTTCATAGAAACAAACAGACTTACATAGATATAAGTCAAATCGACTACTAAAGCTGATCTAGCAAGTGCATTACAAACTAGCTAATAATATAATATTCAAAAAACTGTATATAACTAAAACAACAAAGTAGCCAAAATCAATTTTGAGTTATTTTGAATGCATGCAACAGGCTCAGAGCTCAGAGCCCATGGCTCATGGCTCAAATGTGATTTCGCATTCAGAAACCCTTCCTTTCAATGGCAGCCAAGGTTAATGCAATTAAGGCACATACCATGCATACGTTAAACAGAGCATATAAACTTGATATCTTGTTTATGGCTCTATGGGAATTTCATGCCTTGTCTGTGTTGCCTTTCCCATTGCCCTGCTCTGTGTGCATATTAAGCAAGAAAAGTAGAAGGTTTTTTCAGTAGCTGCTCTTCCTATCGAAATTTTGATTGCATAAACTGTAACCTTCCCATAATATTGGACACATGTTATGCAGTTAGTTCGACGGTCAATTTGACTGTTATATAGCTGGCATTAGTTGCGCCCGATGCGTTAATTTGTATTCAGTATTGTACGGGGCGTAGCTATGCCAGGGTCAATGCCTCATTTAGGCAATCTTTACTAGCTAAGCATGTGCGAAATATATTCAAAAATAATCGCCCGCAATAGAAACGCGATTAGTTTGATTGATTTATTAACCAGACGTAGTTAGTATATACATATATATATGTGGTTGGGTACAGTTAGCTGGTTCGACAGAAGGACGTTGGGTAAGCTGAAAACTAAGCCAAGAGCCAGTTGGACCAAAGTGTAATTTGTTTTGGCAGCCAAGTCAACAATAATTAGCGGACACACACACACACACACATACACTCTCGCACCTTTTCTAGTTACTGAGCTAACGGCCCCGTGTTCCGACATGCAAACGAGGCTGAACATTTTAATTAACACGGCTCACAAATAAATACGCAAATATTGCAAAATATTTCATGCTCTAAGCCGCGATGGAACGTTAACCTTGTCGATTACATATCAAGCCAAAAATAAAAAAAAAAAATAAATAAATAAAACTAAAATAAAATACTAGAAAAACCAAGCTAAACGCATCGATAAACAAGCTGGTCTTAATAACCGTTGCATAGCCTCCAGCAGCTCCGCCCCTCCCCCCAAAAAATGAAAACCAAGCCCAAGTCCAAGTCCGTACCCGAACCAAACCGATCCGATCCGAACGCAACTTATCAATTTTAGTGTCACAGTTGCTATATAAGAACGGCGACAAGCAGCGACACGAAGACCGTTATTACGCAATTTTCCAGCGATTTTTCACAGCGCTCCACCGCTTCAGGTTGCCGCTGACCCAGTGCCCAAAGTTAGGCACACAAAACGGTTCTTAAATTAATACACACACAACAACAGCGCCTCTGGGCCAACGAATGCATGTCAACTTGTAAACCTAGCCACTAAAGTGAGCCAGTTACCAAAACTGAAAGGGCATTAAGCATGAGTTTTATATACTATAAATATTTGCACTCCTTATAGTTTCTAGCTGCCTAACAGGAAGAATGCTGGTTCGAACCATGCCATTATGTGACATGAGTTTTATATACTTTGAATATTCACTGAACAATATCAACTAACATTCGAGCTATAGCTTGTTCCTGATAGTTTCTGAAGACATATATAACTTTTTACAGTCCCCAGCTGGCTTACTTACATACTTCAACCAGAAGGATGATGGTTCGAATCCCCGAAATTAAAACGGGATTACCATGAGTTTTATATACTTTAATTATTTACAGAACAATTACAAAATAAGTATTAACCGAATTATCAAGCATAATTCGAGCTATGGATAGCTCCTTACAGTCCCCAGCTGCATTAGGTACCTTCACAAGAAAGATGCTGGTTCTAACCACTGAAACTTTAAGGGCATCAGCATAGGTTTTATGCACTATATCTATATATATCTATAACAACCCGATTTAAGATATATATGGAACTCCTAAGCTTGGTAGCTTGCTGTCTAGTGAGACACTTCCTTAGGCTGCTTCAGAAAAAGGTTGCCGGCTCGAACCTCTCGCCTGGTCTCAGTAAGCAAACATTAAACTAGAATTTAACAAACTAGCCGCCGCTTCATCTACCTAACTGCTCAAAATTAAAGAAACTCATGCCAAAAAATCCAAAAAAAAAAAAATTATAATAAAAACCAATTGCAACAGTTACTCAAGCTGAAATCCTGTTTAGAACGAGTTTCTTTTGATTCGGAATTGAATTTTGATGTTGAATTTTAAATGTTTGCTTTTTTTCCATATATATATATGTGTGTGTGCGTGTGTGTACGTGTGTGTGTGCGCCTGTTAGGCAGCACTTAAAAATGCGTTAAAATGTTAACAATTTATGCTCTGGTCTAGCTCGAACCGAGCACCCCCGTTCAAGAATTCCAGGCACATTAAACAAGCATTAAATAAGTTGCGTCCAACTGGAAGATTTATTGATTTGACAGCTGCGACTGCCACAAACAAACAAACTAACAAAAAACGGCGGCAAATCGAGAGCGAAACCAGCTGCTGCTGCTGCTGCAACAACAATAACATGTCGTAAAGAAAACTACTAACCCACATACAACATGCTTGCCACAAAACCACTTTCATTGCGCGCGGTTTCCCTTTCAGCAGAGTTTTGTGTTTATTTTATATGTGTTTTGGAGTTTTCTCAATGATTTTTCTCACACTGTGCTCTCTTCCATGTTTCTCCTTGTCCAGCGGCAATGCGACGACTTCAATGCCATTGACAACGTCGCTCTCAATGATCCACGCGAATGGCTCGGCTGCTCTTGAGAGCCAAACGGTTGCATCTGTGACCAGACCGAACGATATCAAGCCAAGTGTGGTGGCCAACAAGAAACGCTCCACGGCATCCAATGCCAGCAGCACACATACTACGGACTCCGGCCTGGGCACCAACACAGCAGCAACAACAAAAACAGCATTAGTAGCAGGGGCAGCTGTGGTAGCAACACCAACTGCGGCAGTAGCTGCAAGCGGCTCACACTATTCGACCGATAAAAGCGGCTCGTCCGGTTACTATAGCTCTCATGTGTGCTCCACATACTCGCTGGACGAGCACATCTACTGCGAACCGGTCATAGATATCCTAGAAGCCAGCGATAAAGAGAAGAGCAAGAGCAAACGGCCACAGCTGCAGCTGCCAACGAAAGTGACGGGCCATGAGAAAGAGACGACGGCGATTAGTCAGCATTTGGACATGCAAGATGCTATGTCTACGGGCCTGGCAGCCGACCAAGCGGCGGATAAAACGGAGCAAATAGCCGTGGGCAACAGCCAGCAGCAGCAGCAGCAGCAGGAGCAGCCGCACTACAGCGACAAGCTGCGCATCCTGGAGACAAGCATTGAGAATCTGGATCGTCATTTGAAAACCTTGCCCAGCCTCTATGCGCAGCAAGCGCCAGCTGCCGCAGCATGCGCCACAATGGATATTGGCGAGAAGCTGCGCGCCTACAACCAGCTGCCCACAATTATGGAAGGCTATGCCACACAGCGGCAACAGCGGCAACTGGAGCAGCTGGATGACTCACTGCTCGACATCGATTTGGATGCATTTCTGCTGCAACCCAAGCAGCAGCAGCAGCAGCAACAACAGCAACAGCAGCAACAACAGCCACGCCGACAGCGGCAACAGCTGCTGCTGGCAGGCATTGATAATCCGAGTTTTTTGAGCGACGAGCAGCTCGAGGAGAACAATTACAAGTGTGCCAAATACATAAACTCCTGCCCGGAGGATGCCTATCGTGTGGACAACGAATCATCGGCCCATGCCCATGCGAAACGCTATGAAGATCAGCTGCACTTTCAGAGCACACGCGAGCTGCTGGAGGATGTGCGCGACAAGATACGCCTGCTGGCGCCCACGCCCACAACAGACATACCGCAGGAGCTGGAGGGCATGATACAAACGCTCAAGGACGAGCTGGAGTCCTATCTGCAGCGCATGAACCAGCACAGCGAGCTGGAGCTGCGCCAGCTCTGCAGCGGTCTGGGCCGCCAGCAGCATGTGGTGCGGCTGCAGAATGCGCTTGAGCGCAGGCGCAGCTTTGCAGGTGAGCTGCAACTGAATGCCTACGAGTCGGTGCGCGACGGCGTCCTAATCTCCGCCTGCGGTCGGCCGCTAAACGTGCGCGAACAGATCATGAGCATACGCTGTGCCAGCGATCCGAACTTTAAGATGAAACGCAAATCCATCACCGAGGTGTTTCCCGTCGCCGAGTGCTATATTGAGACCATGACGTTATCGCGCAGTGCCACGCCTACAACCATGGAGACGCCCACACCGACAATCACGCCCACGCCCACACCACCGCTGGAACTGAAGGCAACGACAACAACAACAACCATGGTCACCCAAATGCAACGCAATCTAACCTTCCACAAGCCCGTGCTCAGCGTGGAGAACACCAGATCGCGGCTGGGCAACGGTCTCGACAAGATCGACAACACAGCCGAATGGCATCGCAAAAAGCCGAGCATCTGGGAGATGTACTACGGCACCAATCGACTGCATCAATCGCTGCTGGGCAAGCAACGCCACAGCGGCGGCGAACTGGTCATCAGCAGCGCACATCCGACGCTCTCCTATGTAAGTATATGCGGTGCAAGGGATACTCTGCAATTATGCCTAATGCAATTGGTATAGTGCAGGAACAGTTGGTAATAAGGCAGAGTTTTAAGTATTTAAGCCAAAAAAAAAGGTTCAAACCCGAAATTCCCATATAGCTAAAATTAAAAGCCGGGCTATTAAATCAAACCAATGAAGGGAACCAGGTTAACAAATCGATCCTTCAGGCGAAAATAGTTGAAACAGGGAACCTTCAAGATTGAAAGGGTAGAGAACTCAAACTAAGAGCACGGCAAGTCCCTTATATATATTCTTGATCAGCATCAATAGCCGAGTCGATCTAGCCATGTCCGTCTGTCTGTCCGTCCGTCCGTCCGTCCGTCCGTCCGTATGTATGAACGCAAGGATCTCAAAACCTATTAGAGCTAGAGACTTGAATTTTAGATGTAGATGCTCCTAGTTCCCGCGCAGATCGAGTTTGTTTCCGATAATCGATAACTTACTTCGTTTCCAAGCAATCGATAAAAATCGACATCGATATCCTGTTTTTGGACAATTCTGGTAAATAATAAGAGTTTGAGTCACCAAACTTGACATATAGCTTCTAAAATAAAATATATATATATGCATTTAATGTTGGAAGAAGAGGGTTCAGGGTATCCCCTAGTCGGGAGCTCCCGACTAGAACCTCTTACGTGTTAATTTGTGTAATGTTTAGAAAATGCAGTCTGTAACTTTTTCAGTTGCTTGACGCTTGCAATTCTCAACAAGTTAAAGCTTAGAAAGAGGCAAAGTCAGCTGATGACAGAGCTGAGAGATTATTGATTATTGACAGACAAATTTTTAATATTTTTATATATTCTTGTTTATTGCTCATTATGTTTATATAAAAGTTGATAGTTAAGCGTGCTCGAGGTCTAGGTTTTGCATTAACGCAAACAAGTTGTTCCTTTCCATTAGCCCATTAGCACTAATAGAAAAGAACAACTTGTTTGTTTAAAGTTGAAACCTAGACCTCGAGTTGACTTAGCCGTCAACTAAATATTGACAAGGTCATCAAACATCCAATATTTATTTAAAAAAAAAAACCAACATTTTATTATACCTACCAAAAAGTTCAGTAAAATCAATTGTCAATTGTTGTAAAACTATGGACTAAGCTCTCGAAAGTGAACGACATTTTTAAATCAAATTATTTAAGCCATTTGGCAATTAATTAATTAATTACAGCATTAACTGAATTACTTAATATGGGTCAAACTCGAAGCTTAACTTGCAGTTGGTTTTCTTTGTGCGGGCTACTGGGCGTTAGCTTTGGCCAACTAGGCGTATGATTAATGCTCTTGGCTAAATGCCACTAAACACAAATCTCTGGGTCAAGTCTGGGCAACTGTATTTTTTTTTTTTGTTTTTTTTTTTTGGGTCACATGAACTTATCAAAAAATTGACAGCACGGTCGAGGGCGTAATTCAGTGGAATTTTTCGTGTGTGCAGCGAGTGCATCAACGGCAGCTCATTAATTTGCCAATTTAAATGGCATCGATTTCGGCTCAAGCCAATTGCCGTCGAGATGTTCGTGCAAACTTTTATTAATTTTATCCTTGGCCGCAATGTGACCAACAAGTAGCTGCAGCGGCAACGGCAGCTTCGTGAGCTGCCTCCGTGTGGCAGCTGCAGCAGCAGCAGCAGCAGCAGCAGCGGATGCGTTGCCAGCGCCATCGTCGCCAGTCACCACCGGACGTCACCAGCATTGACGCCATCACTATTATTATTGTTAAATACACTCACACACTCTGACACACACATATGCACAACCGTTTGCTGAATTTCTGATGGGGGTTTATTATGCGGCAGGCGATATGCGATATTATCGCATTCATGGCCAATGTTCAATTTGGTAGCGCACTCGTGTATTGGCATTATGATTAATGATGTGCGTGCCACAATCGATAAGAAGGGGGAACAGACGAAAGAGAAGGCGGCGGAGGCGTTCATGCTACTGTTCAGAGCTGCCGCACAAGGTGCTCGGCATATCATTAAGATCAGAATCTTAGCAATTACATCAAGCAGTTGCATTGTTGTTGCCACAAGTCTTCAGGTCAGCAAAACTAACGAAAATTATGCAGTTGCAGGGCCTAATCTTAAACACAAATTAGCAAAAAAAAAACGTGATCGACTAGTGGTTACCCTGTAACATTTATAATTCAATACTTGAAGTGTCGCCTAAGAGTATATATGTGTTTACTTTATGGTATCCTTCTGTATGGGTGTGCGCTCCAATCGAACTGCTCGACTAGTGGATACCCTGTAAGACACACATACATACACACACACACACTTATTCAATAGCTAAAGTCTCGCCCAAGCATATATATACACTTGAATCCATGCTGCTCGCCTAGTAGATACTCTGTACTAGTGTTTTCCAATCGACTCTGCTCGACTAATACATACTCTGTACTACACCACTCCACATACACGCACACATTTTATGCAACATTTGAAGTCTCTCCCAATACTATATATATACTTTATGAGTACGCAGTGTCTCGCATTTTGTAAGTGCGCGCCAATCGAGACTGCTCGACTAGTAGATACTCTGTACTGCACCTCACAACACACTCATAATTCAATCTCCCCCCTTATGGGCTCTTTGTGTCCTATTCTATGCAAGTGTTCTCCAATCGAGGTTGCTCATCTAATAGATACTCTGTACCACGCGCTTATTATACAAAATTTAAAATATTTCTTAAGAGTATACACATATATAATTAATGGGAAACCTTCTACTATTCATAATACCCTTCGCAAGCTCATTAAATGTGGGGCATGTCCACTTTAACACTAAGTTAAGTTCTTGCACCTGGGCACTTGAGACGCCCGCTTAACAAATCCCATTCGGTTTCTTGTGTCATGTGGGCCAAAAAAACAAAGAAAAACAAAAATAATTTAATTACCGACCACATTTGTAGAGTGTTTGGCAAATAGAACCTTATACTGTATACAAATATTGCACTCAACAGCAAAATAGTGAATTAAGCAACATCCGCTGGACTAATCGAGCTTATTTCGTGGGCCTTGTTTGGGTCTCTGGGCCGGCCAATGCATAGAGAATCTAAATGAGTTTTCACTTTCAATGCCAATGCAAAACAGTTTCAATTTTTTTTCATTTCATTTTATTTTAATTTTCTGTTGACTCAGCTTGGCAACAGAAATTGGTAAGCGCACGACTTCGGTTTATTCACCTTAACTGAAAGCACACTCTTAACTGCAGATACACATCTATATAAACACACACATACATTTACCTATGTATGCGCATATATATATATATATTGTACCTATTTACTAGTCAGTATGCACGTTCACGATTGGGATTTGAACTTGAAGTTTTGCTTTTTGCTGCGGGTTACTTGCAACCGCACTTTAATACAAATCAAACAGTAAATGCAAAAGGAAAAGCCAACCAAATGTTTAATTTGTGAGGTCCCGACTAGCAAATGCCCTGTACTTTCTTTTAGGCGTATATAATAATTAATAAATATAATGCATTTGGTCCAAATACTTAACGAGCGCCTACATTCCAAACAAGATGGCTTAAGCTTTTATAATCCCAGAGATATGGTCAAGAAACCCTATCTAAACTTCGATGGCTGTCAATATCTATAGAGAAACAAAGAGAGCTATCAATGATTTGAAATAATTTTAATCCCACAAGCAATAGAAGAAAAATACATTCCAAACAGATCCAGATCGACAAGGACAGCGAAACGGACATGACTTCTCGGAGATGTCTCCCTCCCTCCCTCTCTCTCTCTTACAAACATTTGTACAAAACCAAAATACTCTTTTTTACAATCATTTTCAACGGGTACAGGGCATAAAAAGTGTACTGGTTAACCTTAAAATTCCGTTAAGACATGCAGCAAAGGCCTGCAGCATCTTGGCGAACAGGTAGCTCTGCTAGCTGCTTATCTGGCTGACCAACTGACCGCCATTGATTGCGGTCCAGATAAAAAAGGCGCAAGCAACAACAACAACAACAACAACACAACAAGGTAGAGTGCAACAAGTGGCAGAGAGCGCAACGAGAAACCGGTGCCGCAGCCCGCATTTTGTTGCCCTACAATTCGAATGACCTTTAAGGACGTTTCCACAAGAAGGATGCTGAGCAAACAGGCTGGCCATAATGAGTGTAGCTGCACCCCTTTCCCCCCCCCCTCCTTCACCCCTTTGAGCCGACTTGCCACGCGGTTGGCTCTGCCCCGCAGACGAAACTCGTCCCACGGCAAATTGGCCGGCGAATAACTTGTTTGCTGTCATGAATGCCAAAATGAAAACGAAAACGCAAACGAAAAGCAAAATTTGAGGCGAGATCTGGTCACACACACACACACACACTAGCACACTCGCTCACACACAAAGTAGCTGCCGCTGCAGTTTTTACTATTTAGCCGTGGCTGCCACAAAGTGTTGCAATCGCTGCAGCCACCCATCAAAAACAGAAATCGAAACCGAAACTTGGTTTTTTGTTTATTTTTTTCTTATTTTTTTTTTTTTTTGGCAATTTCCATTTGGCCAAGAGCAAGCCAAAACGACACAAATGGACGTGGGGAATTGTCGTCAGGCCAGAGCCACAAAGGCGAGTAAGTTGAAGTACACAGTTCCCCGGCCAGCGGCTATGCGAGGGTCGTTTGGCTAGTTAAGCAGCTAAAGGCGAGCAAAAAATTTGCAGCTTAGATGCCCAACTGCCAGCCGAATGAATTACGAGTTCGAACCAGCGACTCGCATTTAAGTTCAGTTCGTAAAATTGAAAGCAAAATCGATTTAAACGCTCAGACAGTTAATTTAGTTGTTCTAAAAATTAATTCAAATGCTTTCATAGTCAATTTAGCTACTCTTAAGATTCGAACTGGCGCCCTGTATTTAAGTTCAGTTCATAAACCTGAAACCTGAAACTCGATTCAAATGCTCAGCAAGCTAATTTAGCTACTTTTAGCTATTCTTCACATTCGAAACAACTACTTCTTGCCAATTATTCGTTCAGGTTTCGAGCTGCGCATCGCTTTGGACTGCCCCGAGTTGAAGATATGCCACGGGGCAGCTTTTGTGGCTTATATAAGCGCAAGGGGCCTATCATGGCCAGCAGCGCATTGACCACCACGGAAGCTGTTGCCAGGTGACTGACACCCCCACCCACACTTACATTTATTTTCGGCAGCTCCGGTTTGCAGCTGATTACTCATACGCCACGTGCAACATGGGGCTGTGAATGCTCAACTAATTAACTGACCAACGGCCATTTGGCAATGGTTTTGCAATGTGCCACGCCCACGCGTATTCCTTTTACTTGTGTGAACTGTTCGCCTGCGTGCCAGTTGATTGACTCACTGACACACTGACAACATTCGAGCGGCTGTCGCTACCGTTTTAACAGACACCTGACCAACACCTGCCCGCCGCCCTCTCCCGCTCCTCGCACCTTCCATCAGATACCTCAATGTTCAATTGCTTGTTTTGGCTTTTCCGGCGCTCGGCTGCTTTTCATGTTGCGGCTTTTCTTGTGTGTGCAACATTTCGTTGTTGTCTCGAGTTAGTTACCGTTGAATGCGTTTTCAATGCTGCCCGCAAAAAAATTGAATGAAAATACCCCCCTCTCTGCCCCCTCACCCAAAGCACAGAAAATGTGTAGAAAAATTCGAGCACCTGTTGCACAATTGCCTAATTATCTAGTATGAATATATATATATTTATTAGTTAATATATATACTTGGTCTATTCACACCCTATTATATTTACGATACATATCTATGCCTGTGAAAATCTCTGCGCATACCTGACTTATTGCCACACTTGAGTTTAATTTACACAAAAACGTTAATTTCTCTATCTGTGCAAATTATTATTGCATTGTCTTTAGTTCGGTTAAGAGTTGCTGTCCAAAAAGTCAGTTCACTTTTAAGCTTCCAACCGTGCAGATTATCCATACAAAAATGGGTAATGTCACTTTTGTAAGTGTCGCAATTTTCCCTGAACGTTGGCTCGAAAACGATCTCAAATTTTCCAACAACTAAATTAAAACTAACTAAAGTTTGACATAAAAACGAATGTGAATGCGGCTGTTAATAAATTAAAATAAGAGAGAAAGTAGATTTAATACCCTTACGGGTTGGCAGATATGCAGAGATGATTGTGAAGCTTGTAATTGCTGAATTTGGTGAAAAATCTTGGAAAACAAGAAGAATAAGGAAAAACCATTCGCTCTGACCTACATAACAAAATCAAAATACCCTATGCTAGGGTATAAATATTGGGCTAGTTATGCACATGGATTTCCCACAGAGATGCCCGTAATATAAACCATATTATTATATGAATGTATATGTGTATGGTGTCTACATACTTGATTAATATATGCATTTAAGTACTAGCCGCGCGTACGTGTTAAAATTAGTTTTCACTTCAAGCGATTTTTCAACTTTATGCAGTAATAGCGACATTTAAACTTGGCCAACTTCCAGTCGAAAAATAGTATGTATGTATATATTTATTAGTGGTTTCAATGTCAGTGAAAAACGTGTGTTGCAAATTAAAATGCCAGCCACTAAATTCATATCTGTATGGATTTTCTTTTGAACTTGATGTCTATTGCAAAACATTTGCAAATAAAATGGGCGCTGTTCAATTTATTCCAAGGCTAAGTTTTGGGGAATTTACAGCTTCAGTTCACAATATATACCTTAGTTTTTATATGTATGTACATGTATGTGTGCGTGTGCGTGTGCGTGTACACACGATGAAAGATTATGTACATGCATATTTTTAGAGCTCTTGCATATGTTAAACGAATCAATATTAACTATACTCTCGTCCAATATTCATAATTTATTGCGATGTGCCTCTGTGCCTGTGCCTTTGCGTGTGTGTGGCATCATTTGCAAATTAGCTACGTCACATTCATGGCACTAGGGCGGGGTCCAATAAGCTGTCTTGAATAGCTTCCCACACGAAGGTTGCTTGAAGAGTAACTGCACTATTTACTATTACCGATATTCGTATTGCAGTGAGAGCGCTCTCTCTTTCACTCCCTCTCTCTCTCTTTCTCTCATTCGTTTTGAGTTAATACGCACTTTACTATTCTGCATGTTCAAATAAAAATAGGCGCGTTCTGATGTTGTCTCTCTACCCCTCTTTCTCTCTGCTGCAACTCATTATTTGGACATTCATAGGTTTTCGCGCCATTTATTCAATTTTGCGCCATCCACATATACATACATGAATGTATGCATGTATGTCTGTATGTATGGCTGTGGCAAACACATTCTATGCATAGGCCTTCCGATTGCCCTCCAATCATAAACATATATATGAATTTATAGCATACATGCATGCATCAGTAAGTGCATATTCCCTTGATTTACTTGCCAGGCCAATAAAACCGTTATAAACGAATACACACACACGCACAGAAATTGAATGCGGTAATTTTCCCGTCAACATTGGCGCTTCGATTACGTCGTCTTCTCAAAGTACTTTGACTGATAAACAGCGGCAATAACAACTAAAACAACGACAACAACAAAAGGCAACAGCGACCTCAGGCGGCGGCAAACGCATACATATGTAAAAGCACAAAAGAAATAAAACACAAACTCACAAACAGCGCGTGGCTGAAGGTGGATGCGCAAAGAAGCAGCAAAAAGAAGCCGGAAGGCAAACGCAGATACCGCAAAGTTGTTTTCATTTTAATTTCTCATTTCATATCTCACATGTAATGTTATGCTTGTGTATGTATGTGCATACACACATACATATGTACAAATGAGTGTCTGTTTGTCTGAATGCAGCAAGCATTGACGAACGTAATAATCGGGCACGGGTGCGGGCACATACATAACTGATCACCGAAAACGCAGACAATGCGCGCAAAAAAAAAAAATTATAAATAAGGCCTGACAATGAAGTGCAAAAATGCGAATTGTTCAACAGGCATTTATGGGCACACTTACACACACCCTAATGTTACTCCTACATACATATGTATGTATAAATATGCGTGAGTGTGTGAACACTCAAAATTGAATGCCCTTTTAATGACTATATTGCATATGCGCAACTTTCACTTGCCAATATGATTGAAATTTGATATGTGCGGCTTTTTGCAAATCCCAAAACTGTGATTATTATTATTATTGAGCTATTATAGAATTTTTGGTCACAAATTTAGCATCCGGTTGAAAAATGCGTGTGGGTGTGATAGTGGGTATTTAAATACCAAGATTTATAAATATATATATTTTTAAAATTTTAAGATTGCATAATACTTTACATGTTTTGTGAGAATCAACAAACCTGTTACATTTACATAGTAAACGATTGCAAATGTACATAAACACACTCACATGCAGGCGCATGTGTAAATTTTTTAACAGATTTCAAGGTTGTGTCGCTAAAATTCAAAACCGGCAACAGCAAAAAATAAGAAGATGCGCAAAAGAAAACAACAACAACGGCCGCTTAGTGGGTCAAATTGTTGTGCGTTGCGCCCTTTTTATCTCTCTCTCTCTTTCTCTCTCTCTCTCCTCGCCTGCTCGGTGTGTGCCACGCCTTGCAGCTATTGCAAAAAGTTACGTGAATAATATGCAAAACATATGATATGATTTATGTCAAATAAGATGTTGCCTAGCTTAACAAATAATTTAAGTCTACAAATAAAGCCTTAGCTTAAAATAGTTGCCATACAATTTAAATCAGATCAATGCAGCGACTACGATAATCATCATCATCATCATCATCAATGTCAAAGCAATCGTCAGCTACAGCGGTCACTGAGGGCCATCTTGGATTGATGATGGTTTATCTTTATCTTCACAATCGTCGTTTGCGACTGCGTCTTGGCTACCTGACCTAACAATATGGTTAACATGTGCATAATCGATTTACATAAAGAGCGCCAAGCTAACGCCACATATTAATGAGTTAACAAAAAATGTGTTATATATGTACATAAAAGAAGTATAGTGGGTTTACTGCCTCCCCACTGTAGTTAGATAGTGACGTCACACTCGCATATGCTTGCATGCACAAACACACACGTTCATTCTAACGGTGGATCTCTCTTATGTTATGGGCCAATGTTGCCAACTTTTACAAATATGTATGTTATTTTAAATAAATGTAAACACAGCTCAGCTAAATACATATTTCTGTATATTATTGTATGTATATATACTTAAATGTTTTTATAATTGCATGCACAGCCATCATCCAGACCCGAATCGGATTTTACGCTCGACTTGCCGCGCGCCGAGCAGCTGCGCCTCAAAATGGAAAAGGAGAAGAAGTTCCGCCAAAGATGTCGCCTCATCACCACATTTCTAAGTCTGGTATTCTTTCTACTGACCGTGATGGTTGTCAGTTTGGTTTTAACGCGCGGCAAACGCATGTTTGGCAGCATGATTTAGCCAAGGAGTACCATATAAAACTGAATATAAGCAAAAAAGAACAACAAAAAAAAAACAAAACAAAAACTAGAACAAAATTAAAGTGCCGTAGTAATTCTTAGATCCAACAGTAACAGCTACATAATAACTGCAACGAATCGTAGGGGCATTAAGATAATAACTAATTTCTAGTATTAGATCTAGTTTATTCGTCACTAGTATACACTATAATCGGAGGGGCAACATGCTTGTTGTGCCTGTTTTCGGCAGCCGCAGCCGCAGTATTGTTAATAAATTATTTTTGTGATCTTAGCTGTTAAGTGAAAAGTGAAGTTTTGTGTTTGTCTAAAAATCATGATAAATCATGTCCATCATAAATGCTGATTGTATTAGTCGTAAGAGAGTACTGTACAATGACCTTATAGTGTGTAAAAGTGTTTGTGTGCGTCGATAAATAAAGCAATATCAATGAAAATATGCATACTAAAAAAAAAAGAACCGAAAAAACGGGCTTATACGTTTCTCAAATACACACACATTTATTTGTTTAACCGTTATTCACGTTATACATATACATATACATATATCATAGACAATACACACACACACACACACGCACACAACATGTGTTAGTGCTTGCATGTTTTAGGTATGAATGTGTAGAAAATAAGTTCAAAGCATTTATCGTATGCATTAATTGCAACTTCTTACATAGTACATATCTTTTGGTATCACAAATGTTATTTTTGTTTTTTTATTTTTTCGTTAAACTTGAACTTCAACTGTTTTTGTTTTGTTTTTTGAGAAAATGCACAAAATTCTTATGTTACCGTATAAGGCAATTCAACTGTTAGGCATTGTTAGTAACTACGATACACTAGAAAAAATTACAATTACAATTGATACACAGTAAGCAATCGAGAAGGCAAATTCCTTAAATGAGAATCGTGCTGCTGTATCCCAAATGGACCTTTGGCCTGATCTTGTTTGGATTTCATAATATGCGTATGCTCTGCCGATTCACCTCGAACAGCGTGTGATCCTCCTCCTCGTCGCTATTCACATCCTCAATGGCCATGGGCAGTGGTGTCAGCTCCTGATTGGCGCGATCCCCTTGCACGCCGTATTTGCGCTCAGCACGCGATAAGCGCAGACTGTAATGAAAAGCGAAAATGGTATAAAAAGTCACGGGCTTTGTTTGTGTAAAATTAACGGAACATTGCTGTGCACCAGTGTTGCCAACTGCAGAATTCAGAAATAGCTGGATCCGATGTTAAAAACAGCTAAAAGAAGCTGAATGAGCTTTCTGGGCATAAACTCTGGCTCAAGCTAAATCTGCTACGGCTGGCTGAATACTAAAAATAGCCAAATAAAGCTAGCAAATAGCTGAATTGGCAACACTGGCTCGACCGTTATCTGCAAACCGCGCTTAACGAACCGATCGTAGCAGCTGATTAGGAACGTTCAAACGCCACACTCGACTTACCGATAGACACGTACAACCAGCACCAAAATGGCCGAGCTTGTAATGCCCACCAGTATATAGAAGACAGCTGCGTATGTATCCGGAAAATCTGTGTTGTCATTCATATTGGAATGCTCAATGTGCACATCCTCTTCGGGCAGCACGCCTGTTGGATGCTCATGTTGTGCCGCCGCCTGCTGGGATTTTTCACTTATGACGACTACCTTTTCTGGGACTGAAGACTCTGCCGATGTCTGTTGCACGGCAGTATCTTGTGCCGGCGGCAGTGGTGGAGCCTGATCCTTTTTTACGGTCCTTCGCGGATCTGTGTTGGCATTTGTGCTAGTTGCGTTCGGTGCCGCTGCGTCGCTTTGGTCATGGTGCGATAAAAACAACGTCAGTAACAGTACCAGCGCCAATAAGTGCCAATTCTGTGAGACATGCTCCATCTATAAATATTCGTAATTTAAAACAATGAAGCGACAAACAGTAAGCTATTATTTCTGACGTATTCAAATTTTGTTGCTCTGTTCTATTTTTTATTTATTTACACTAACTAGGGCTGCCAGAAAGTCAATTTTGTTATCGATGGCTTTTCTTATGTGTTAAGGGATGCAATAATGTCTTATTATCGATATAATTTTGTGGAGCTGTCAACTTTTGTCGAGCGGTGCTGCCATATTAATGAAATCCACTCTGTCATGTACAGCGCGATCTGGCAACGCTGAGCTTCTTTTTAGTTGGAAAGAGTGATTTGTACAAACGGTAAAAAAATCGTCAAATTAGTTAAATTACAGTTAAAAAGTACTGAAAATTGCATTAAAATACACGCGTAGCATTAAACAACATCTGGAAACAGGTAAATTGATGTTAAAACTCGTCGCTCTGATAAGATTCGCAAGCTATATGTCAGTGCCAGTGCTGTGAAAATGGCGAACAAAAGGTGAAAAAAAGTACGTGTGCTCCAAAAGGGAAATCACGACGCCACAAATAAAAAGCCAGTGAAAATGTTAGACAGTTTTTATTTTTACAAAGAAAAAAAACCTTTGTGCTTGAAAACATAAAAACGGCCTTGTAATAAACCTATTTGCTAAGGTTGGTGCAATAAAACATGTTTTATTAGACCATTTACGTACGTTTTGTGTGCCTATGCGCGTGTATGTGTGTGTGTGTGTGTAAGTGTGTGTTTATTTTAACAGGAAGTTATAATATGCCCATGCACACATACACAAATTGCCTGCGTTTTGTCGAATACTAAAACACACATGTATGTATGTATGTGATAGCGCTGCAAGGGTATTTATGATTATTTTTTGCTTGTTACTACATATTTTTCTAGTTTCGAATCAATTGCAATTTCGAACTTTGCATATCGAATTACATATTCATATTCAATGCGCCTCGCGCAGGAAGTTTTAGTTATGGATGCACTCGCACACACACACACACGAAATCATATGTATGTGTTTGTGTGTGTGTTTGTTGTTATACCCTATGCCAACCAGAATAAGTGAAACTGGTATGCTGTTCCGACCATATAAATCGTATGTGTGCCTTGGTGTGGGTGTCTCAGTTAACTGTTTTCCTTTGCGATTCTCATTAAGTGAAATGTTGTTGTTTTTAAGTGTTGGTAATTGCGCGTCAGAGCAGGATAGCGAATGCGTTTATTTATATACGAGTGTGAAGGAGTACTCTGGAGTTAAGCCAATAGAGATTCGAAATCTTCGATTCAATATAGTCGGTCGTAAATCGTAAATCGGCAATATTTATTTTGTATTTAATCTTCGCGGCCTACTATAGCTAATTGATGTTGTGTATATTTGCAGATTGAAAAAAATACATATTTTATATCTTCCCCATAAATTGTTACACTTGATTTGCCAAAATTCCGACCAAAACACCCAAGACAAGATTAGCAGCCAAACGACGCAACCAGGACAGCCAGCCCACGTCCCAGTCGCCCGCGCAAGTTGTCGTCCTTTCACAGCAACAACAACAGGAGCAGCAGCAGCAGCAACACCACCGGCCACAGCAACCAGATCGGGTGGAAGGCAAACGTGATTTGCCACCGGCTGCCAAAATGAATCGTTCGAGCAATTCGCAGGCCACACAGAGGCCGGTCAATTTGGATGACATCTGGAAGGAGCTGGTGGAGGGTATATTGCAAATATTCCGGCATGAAAAATCGCTAACACGTAATCAGTATATGAGGTTCTACACGCACGTCTATGACTATTGCACGAGTGTCAGCGCAGCACCGAGCGGACGCAGCAGCGGCAAGGCAGGCGGTGCTCAGCTGGTGGGCAAGAAACTGTACGATCGGCTCGAGGAATTCCTGGAGGACTATCTGAATGAATTGCTGACCACGTTCCAGTCAATAAGGGGCGAGGAGGTGCTGCTCTCGCGCTATACGAAGCAGTGGAAATCGTATCAGTTCTCCAGCACTGTCCTGGATGGCATTTGCAATTACCTGAATCGCAATTGGGTGAAACGTGAGTGCGAGGAGGGCCAGAAGGGCATCTATAAGATCTATCGTCTGGCCCTGGTCGCCTGGAAGGGGCATCTGTTCGAAGTGCTCAACGAGCCGGTGACCAAGGCGATACTCAAGTCCATTGAGGAGGAGCGCCACGGCAAGCTAATAAATCGTGCACTAGTCCGCGATGTTATTGAGTGCTACGTCGAGTTGAGTTTCAATGAGGACGACACCGATGTCAACGAACGAAAGCTATCGGTCTATAAAGATAATTTTGAAGTGAAATTCATAGCCGACACCTACGATTTCTACGAGAAGGAGTCCGATGCGTTCCTATCCGCCTACACGGTGACAGAGTACTTGAAGCATGTCGAAACCCGTCTAGAGGAAGAGAAACAGCGCGTCCGTGGACGCAACTCGAAAAATGCCCTGTCTTATCTGCACGAGACAACGGCGGATGTCCTCAAATCGACCTGCGAACAGGTAAGCAGCAATTCAATTAAGAATTGGGAGCTAACGTAGTGAAAGGTTTCGTGGAAAAGGAAGCTGACGATGAATCAACAGGCATCGTTTCTTCCTTCTATGAAGCTTTCACAGTGCTCCAAGTGGAATTACTTCCATAAAAACTTTTTTAATTCTGTAATTCTATTCGTACGCATCGCATTCAGGTACTGATTGAGAAGCATTTGAGATTATTCCATACGGAGTTCCAGAACCTGTTGAATGCCGACAGAAATGAGGATCTGAAGCGCATGTATTCATTGGTTGCGCTCTCGCCCAAAAATCTGGACCAATTGAAGAAAATACTCGAGAATCACATACTGCAACAGGGCACAGAAGCCATCGAGAAATGCTGTACCAGCGATGCGGCAAACGATCCAAAAACCTATGTACAAACCATACTTGATACACACAAAAAGTACAATGCGCTCGTTTTGACCGCATTCGATAATGACAATGGATTTGTGGCCTCGTTGGACAAGGCGTGCGGTAAATTTATAAATTCCAATGTGGTGACGCGGCCAAACAATGCCGGCAAATCGCCCGAATTGTTGGCCAAATATTGCGATCTGTTGCTCAAGAAATCATCAAAGAATCCGGAGGACAAGGAGCTAGAGGATAATTTGAATCAGGTGATGGTCGTCTTCAAATATATTGAGGATAAGGATGTCTTCCAGAAGTACTACTCAAATATGCTGGCAAAGCGTTTAGTCAGTCATACATCGGCGTCTGATGATGCCGAGGCAATGATGATCTCCAAGCTGAAGCAGACCTGCGGTTATGAATACACTGTTAAGCTGCAGCGTATGTTCCAGGACATTGGTCTGTCCAAGGACTTGAATTCAAATTTCAAGGAGTACCTGAAGACCCAAAATATAACATCCGAAATTGACTTCGGCATCGAGGTGCTCTCAACAAACGCCTGGCCCTTCACGCAGAACAACAATTTTCTGCTACCCTCGGAACTGGAGCGATCCGTTCAACAGTTTACCATTTTCTACTCAGCTCGACATTCGGGCCGCAAACTGAATTGGCTGTATCACAAATGCAAGGGCGAATTAATAATGAACGTGAATCGCAGCAATGTCGTCTACACACTGCAAGTGAGCACGTTCCAAATGTCGGTGCTGTTGCAGTTTAATGATCAGCTCAGCTTTACAGTGCAACAACTGCGTGATAATACGCAATCCCAGCTAGAGAATTTGATACAGGTGAGCAACATAAATTGGAGCAGAAACTATGTTATTAATGACATGCATTTTATGTGCTCGTTTTTTCTTTAGGTATTGCAAATACTGCTCAAGGCCAAAGTGCTGACGTCCAGCGATAGCGAGAATGCCCTCACATCCGACTCAACTGTGGAATTGTTTTTGGATTATAAGAGCAAGAAGCGTCGCATTAACATCAATCATCCGTTGAAGACTGAGCTTAAAGTTGAGCAGGAGACTGTCACCAAACACATTGAGGAGGATCGCAAGCTGTTGATTCAGGCGGCGATCGTACGCATCATGAAGATGCGCAAGCGTCTCAATCACACTAATCTCATCTCTGAGGTGCTCAATCAGCTGTCGACACGGTTTAAGCCCAATGTGCCGGTCATTAAGAAGTGCATCGATATATTGATTGAGAAGGAGTATCTGGAGCGCATGGAGGGACACAAAGACACCTATAGCTATCTAGCCTAAGTTCATGTTTATATATATATAAATATCGTTCCAAAATTATATATTTTGCCAGCCACTAGAAGAAGATATCAAGTCAGATATCAATTAGAGCCTGCCAATTTCCACACCTCCACCCACCCACATCCCTGTATAAGTAATCAACAATTAAGATCTGTACCCCCCGCCTATACCCCTCATCTAATGATTGTCGAATTAGCTACATGCTTAACGCATTTAGAATGCGCGCATATTTCACAACCAACAATCAAAGCAACATTTAATTCATTTTGCAAGTCCCCCCCCATTGTCATGATCATCGTCCTCTCTCAAAGGCAACAGGAGTAAAGGATTAAAATTCCAACATGGAATTGTGCAAGCACAGATAAAAAAAAAATAATTCATGTAGCTTCTTGAATCATTTATAATAATGAGTTTTACTTAGTTTATTGCTGTTTTATAATTTTTTCATATATTACATTACGGAAAAGACAAAAAATGTTAAGTTCAAAAAACAAAAACAAAAAAAAAAAGTAACAAAAACGAAACGAAATATATAAGTTGAAGCAGTTAATTAAACGGTACGTTTAAGCCGGCTTTCCTTAGCCTTTGTATTCAACAATTTCACAGTGATATCGAAACGTTGGGACACCTACTGTTTTTTTTTTTTTTGTGAAATGTAAATCGGTAATTTGCAAACTCGACGACGGCTGCGTGTTTCAAGTTAAACAAAAACCTACTTAAATGTGTACACATATTCAATACTCGACAAACAATATAAATTTATTGACTTTGAGGGAAGCCAGTGTTAAAAGTGGAAAAATAAAATACAAAATATAAATCAAACTAGCCTAGAGCAGGCCCCACACAGTATTAAACTTAGAAGCCCATCCCAATTACATGGGCTTTTGCAGACTTTGCTCTTCGTAAACATATTATTCGGAAAGTACATTTTGTCTTTGCCTCTATTTTGATGGCAGCTTTCGTCGTTTTTGCAAAGCTACTTATATATAAACGTTAATTTAACTAGTGCAGCTGAGCACATTTAGCTGTGCCCCTTTGTTAGGTACTTATTTATAATATATAGTATATCTATGTGAATATTATTAATATATATATATATGTATATGTATTTCTTTGATTGCGCGGTCTTATAAAACTACCAACAACAGAGATCGTCAAATCGTTTACGGAGAAGAGTTGCTGCCCGGTCAGCAGCAGCTGCTAATCCTCGTCCTCGAGCGTTAGAACCTTTGTCTGAAAGCGCATCCGTTTTGTGTTCTTCACGACGCCGTTGGTGAGTAAATTCGTGCCTGGCTCCGTGCAGGGCAGAGCATTCCACATCCGTTTAACGCGCACCACCGCAATTGAATTGAAGTCGTATTTCTTTTTGGTATCAGGTTCGGTGGCTGCTTCGACTGGCGCCGACTCGGCGGTTGGCACAACTGTTGGCAGTTTGCGAAGCTTGACTACAGCTTGCTTTAGATTGGCGCTGCTGCGGCTGCTCACGCTCATCTTGTCATCGTCTGCATCCGAATGGCCATTATTGACCTCGGCCAAGGAGCAGCCACGTTTCTGTGGATTCGTCGATTTCGATTTGGCTGCTTGCGAGCTGGATTGGAGTATTCAACAAAAAAGAAGGTAATTTAAGAATAAGCAATTGACATATTTAACCGACCTTTCCTGTGTGACTTGATATTCGTTGATGGTGGGCGGTGCGGCTGCGCATATCTTGCCCGGCTCCTCGGGATGGCAACCGTAGTCCTCGCCCTTCAGCCAGTTCTCGTAGCGCTCCGGCTGAAAGTGTCGCACAAATGTTTCCATGGAGATTTTAACCATATCACTGCGACATTTGCAAATGCTCGCTCGCTTGCCATACTCAATCCAGCGTTTGGAGGCGAAGTTTGTGGACTCGGCACCGTTGAAGCCATGATTAAAGCCGGCATGATAGCCAAACGGAAATGTGATCATTATCTCGCCCGCCTCCTGTGTGATCTTATTGAATGGTATATTATGCTGACGCAACACCTTCGGACTAATCATGGTCATCTTGTGTCGCAGATATGCATTGCACTCCTGATAGTTCTCCACAAAGGTCTCGTTGGCCAGCTTTTCCAAGCGCCTGCCATAGATGGGCGGAATGGCATACCAGGTCTTTGGGGCACCGAAATGCAGATAATTTATGGAATACAAGTCCATGTCTTCGGTGTGCCAGGCAAACGAGCTCTTCCACATGCCGAAGTACAAGTACGCCGTATTCACGCCATCTATTTCGATGCCATAATCTGTATTGACCAGATTCAGTATAGTGTCCAGTCGTCCGATATTCCACACGTTCAGGTCCTCGTCGCTCAACGTGCCCTTAACATCGGCCGCATACAGCGGCGATATGTACGTTATGTTCTTCCAGTATTTGCGCTCCAGATCGTCATAGTCAAAGTGACGCGGCGTCTGATGCAGCTCCGAGTTGGCCTTCTCCATGAACTGGCGCAGTGTCATCTGGCGGCGTTGTTGTATATTGATTTGCTGATAAACGCCGTGGGCGCTGGATAACCAAGAGGGATCAGCCAACAGTAACCCAAATTGTATATGCACTTCGCTTACCCAGTTACGACCTGACAGATCGGTGCCGGTATTGTCATGTTTATATTCTCAATATCATAACCTGAACGCCGCGGTATCCATTCCTTGGGTGGAATGATTTTAACCAAGCCAGCCTTATGTGCTCCACGTGATTCCATGTACTCTATGTAGCCGGCAAAGTTGATGAACTCCTCATAGCTGGGGCGAAAGGTCATAATACGGGGCATATTGTGTTGGTCATCGTCGCCAAATGATAAACGAGTAGACGACATATTTAAAACAAATTTAACACAAAACAAATAAAAAAGTGTTGGCAAAGTGCGTTTGGCACTTTTACGACGAGCTCTAGTGCTGAACAATGCGCTTCGAGTGTTGGTTAGCGACCCAAAATAAACGTTCCGCTCTTGCTGTGAATTCAAATGCGCAGATTTATATATATATATATATATATATTTAAATTTAAAAAAACGTTGCGCTCTAGAAACATGAATATGAAGCCAACGCTTGCTTAGTTAATTTGAATATAATTTTAACGAAATTATTCATTTTACAAACATTTGAATGCATTTTTATGATGCGTATGCATTTTGTTGTTGGTTTACCTAGAATTTAGGGATTTAGATTTGCGACTTCCCTAGTTGATTAAATCTGTCGCGCTTTAATGACGCTCTTCTACGGAAATATATAGATAACTACAGGAATCTTTCTGAGTTACTCTCAAGATAAGACCAGACGTTACAATACCAAATTTACTGTGTGTGCATACTAAAAAATTGATAAGAGAATTTGCGGATAATACATCAATTAAATTCAGTATATTATATATTTATGTTTATGTCTGTCCCACATGCGTAACAAAACAAATGCAATATATTTAAACTATATTACTAATTAGATAAATGGCAAATTATTTGTCAGTGCTTTATTGTTTTTACGACTGACGCCAAACACGATAATGACTAACATTAAAGGCCAACAACTGGCGGCTATCTCAAAATCGGCCAGCACCGCAGATAATCAGAGCAAATGGATTCTTGCAGCCGGTATAAAAGCCACAGTTGAAGGCACTTCACGTTTTAGTCGCCGATCAACAACGCGAGCGAACCGAAGAACTTCCTACAAGAGTTAAAGAACAAAATACAATTACGATTATAAATTTCCAAAAACTTTTTAAATCAATCTCAGCCATGGGTTTCGATAGCAACGCGGACAAGCCAATAAAACGTATGTAGACTTTTGTTGATTTCCAGTTTCTGATTTGTGAATGTAAACTTAATAGGTGAGGTATTTAAGAGACATTGCCCTTTAAAAAAAATTATTTTGAATGAAAACTATGCAAGTGAATTATTCAAGCAACATTTGCATCGATTAGAAAGCCGATAAATTGAAATTTATATATGTTTATTTTAAACAAGAGAATTTTCTTAAGACACTTTCTAATTGATATCTCTTGATTTCAAGTTTTTTAGTTGTGAACTACTTGAGACAGCTTCTAATTGATTAGAAAACGACTTATACATGCATATTGATATCAGTAAAATTTGTTCCCTCTAAATTTAATTTTATAGATAGTTAGTTAATCTAGCACTCGGCGGAGTTGCTCCTCCGAAGAGCTTTTGCAATCAGCTCGAAGAGGTTATTGATACGCTGGAGTGCGGGCTACTCGAGGCCCGACAACACGGAAAATTTGCTGGCAAATTGTCGCATATTGCATTGACTATCAGTTTTGGATTATAAATATACAAATAGAGAGACAATAGCTGAGAGTTTTATAAGAGTCTCGGCTGGCCAGACCTGCACAATATACCCAACGCGTCTAGATATTATCTGGGCTGTATTTCAGAGTATTTGTAAATGCGCGTAACGTTTTAATAAATGCTATAAATCTCATAAATCTGACATCGCCACAAAGATAAGTGATTCGTTTTTGAATAGCGATGATAAACGTATCATAACCAAATATTTACTCTCTGATTAGCGCCCAGTTTGCCCAGTATTAAAACATTTGCTTAAGTTCATTTTCATTTTTATTTTGAGGTTATATTTGTAATATGTAACTGTACCGCAATTTAGGCCCCCCTTTGTGCGCTCCACTGGCGCCGTTAAACTTTTCCATTGAGACGGGTTTCGCCTTTTGCATTTCGCATTGGCATGTGTTAATGATAATGACACAATACTTGTTAAAAAGACAAAAAAAAAAATAAGTAAATAAGCGTCTCGTTTACTATCTGGGCAGCGTTTAAATGCATGTGCAAATAATCCTAGAATATAATTGAACAAATAACGCAAATATTTGCATTCATAAACCGAAGCATCGAGTCGCCGCAACATGGTCTATCTCAGAGCTAGCGAAAGGACTCCGCTCCTGATTGGCGCACAGCTGAGCTACTTAGCTGGTTAAACTCTTTGGCTAAATATATAGTATATAGATTTTGTTTATCGTATTTTCGTTATCTTTACAGCCAGCAGAGTGGGCGCACGTCACGGCCAGGCGATTCTGCTGTTCGTGGGCATGATGATCAATTACTTTCAGCGTGTAAACATCTCCGCTGCGATTGTGCCCATGACTCAATTGACGGCGGGTGCTCCGTATTACGATTGGGATCTAGCCGAGAAGTCCCTAATTCTGAGCAGCTTCTTTTGGGGCTACGTGCTCTCCCAGGTGCCGTCAGGTGAGAAAATCAATTAGCCAACAATTAGTTATAAGACGCGAACGCGAGTTGTTATCCCCGGGTGAGGCACACGCAACTAGACTCTTGTGATTCCCAACCAGTTAAAGCTTTGACAATCTGCTAATGATAGACGTGTGAGGTTTACACAACTCTCTTGTAATTCCCAACTAGTTAAAGCTTTGACAATTTGATAGATGCATGGGGCTCAGTCACACTCATCTTCGATCTGAATTTACAGGCTTGTTGGCGAAACGTTTTGGCGCCAAATATGTGATTAGCTTGGCCACAGCTGCGGGCGGCATCCTGTGCTTCTTTCATCCCCTGGCCGCCGAGGGTGGCTGGATCAATATCTGTGTGCTGCGCGTGCTGACCGGCCTGGTCCAGGGCAGTGTTTATCCATGTGTGCACACGCTATTGTCCAAATGGGTGCCGCGCACCGAGCGTGGCTTTCTCACGACTGGCATCTATTCGGGCGCACAGTTTGGCACGGCGGTCATTCTAGTTAGCAGCGGTGACATATTTGAGTCCAGCATGGGCTGGCCGGGACTCTTTTACATTTCCGGTGGTCTGAGCCTGGCCTGGGCGCTGCTCTTTCTGTGGCAGGGCGCCAACGAGCCGGCCACATCACGCAACATCAGCAAAATCGAACGCGAGTACATCGAAAGTCTGACGGGCAGCAATAACAGCGGTCAGGTGAGTGCCATTCATGTTCCTAGTTGAGCCCTAGAATCGGTTAATTCAGACGAGTATCGAACAAAAACATTCACTCAACGTTCAAACAAAGTTCGAGTTCGTCGAGCCAGCAACATGTTCGAGCTAACGGGCAATGCAACTGCAACTCGAACTTGCTCAAACGACATAATTGTTCGTGTATCCGAAATGTGATTGACTCGATGCAGGGCTGACAGTTCCTAGCTAATGATAATTGTATGTAACTGTTGCGATCAATATACTGCAGTCCTTGCCTGTGCCTTGGATGTCCATCTTCAGTTCGTCGGCCTTCTATGGTCTGCTGGCCGCCCATTGCGGCTTCACCTGGGGCTTCTACACGCTGCTCACGGAGATGCCAACCTATATGAGCAAGGTACTCAAACTGAATGTCAAGTCCAATGCGCTGCTCTCCTCCTTGCCCTACTTTGCCATGGGTGTGCTGTGCTTTGTGGTCAGTCCCATTTCCGATCTGCTTATCAATCGTGGCAGCATTACGGTAACCACGGCACGTAAGCTGTTCAACTCAATTGGCCAGTGGGTGCCCATGGGCTGCCTAATTGGGCTGGGCTACATGACCGCCGACGAGAAGACCGGTGCCATTGTCCTGCTCACCCTGGCCGTGGGCATCAATGCCGCCTGCTTTTGCGGATACCTCGTCAATCACATGGACTTGTCGCCAAACTTTGCTGGTCCCATGATGGGCGTCACAAATGGCTTGGCCGGAGTGACATCTATTGTGGCGCCTTTGGTAGTGGGCGCCATTCTGACGGATGAGGAGGATCCTACCCAATGGCGGATAGTTTTCTTTATCACCGGTGGCATCTACCTGCTATGCAATGCGCTCTTCGTGCTTCTGGGCAAGGCCACGGTGCAGCCCTGGAACGACCCGCCCAGCGTGTCCAGCACAACGACCCTACGCAACAACTTACATGTGGATTCCAGAACCATAGCCCCGATAGACAGCAAAGAGGATCGGTTTTGAGTTGTAGCCATAGAAAGTTGTAATTAAATAAGTTTAAGTTAAGTTTAGCATAAATTCATTTTGTGATAGGTCGCCGACCGTTGGACTAACAGTTGAAAAGTCGCCGGTTCAAATGCATCGGCATTTTTAAATTCTGAATTAAGCGCAAATCTCGCATACGATTTTGGTACCAGTTGCATTTTAGATATTAGTTCTTCCAACCCGGCAACGCCGGGTAATTTTTTAAAAACAATAACAAAGTGAAAGTCCTCATAGGCTGATTGAGTGTAAGGCCAGAAAACAACCGTAAAATCGATCTGATAAGTATTTCTAAGAGAATAGGGGATTCGGCATTGGCACAATTGATTATAAAAGCAGATTACCAGCAAATTAAGTTGAAAGCTATTTAAAAGGAAGCCTCGGCTAGATAACAACTTGACACAAACAATGCAATTGCAGAAAAACAATGCCATAACCTGGCAGTTCTTCAGCGGAAGGAAAATTAACTTCTAGATGCGCAGTATAGACAGATAAGTTTAAAAACATTTTTGCATGCGCTGCTTAACATTTATTTCATAAACCTAGTGTAAAGCATCCAAAGTTTAATGTACTCAGAATACACATATAAACGTATACAATGGGAAATCACAAAATGCTTAAGCAGCATAAGGCCTTGTCTGTGGAATCAGCATTTACCGGCATTTATTGGACCCGCCTTCCAGTTGAACTACGCTCGGGTTTATCTCTACGACGGCACGAGCCCAAATTATATACAAATATGGCATAAACTCTAGTCTGGCGAGGTGTTTATCGCTGGAATCTTATTTTACGAATTATTTCACGCCGGGATCCTTTTGTAATATAATGGAATCGCTGTTAATTAACTTTGTCCTCTAGCTGCATCTGCAAATGCTGCTCGGTTAGTTCTTCATTGATGCGACGAGCTACCGACCGAGTGCTCAGTATGGTCCAAATGGACGCCGTCCAGGTAAGGGCAATTGTGGCATAGAGAACAAATATATAGTCATTGGCATCGCCCACAGGTATCTCGGCGTGCAGCGGTCGCTCCGTTTGGAAGTCCGCCTTAACTCGCCGCCAGTTGCAATTATCGGCTGTCAACTGTTTGGATTGCTCTTCAAAATCGGTTTTATGCTCGCCAAGGCAGTAGAACTTATCGGGTCCATCTAATAATTCAGTGTCAATGAGTTCCTTATCGCCCATTGGACAGCTCAGATAAAGTTGGAGTGCGCCTAATACGACCGTGGCCGAGGTGCTGCACAGCGAATGGAATTATTATATCAATGTTTATACATATATAGACGACTTACTAGTTACGGCTCGCGGCGTGATAGCGGAAATGAATGGGCAACGTTAAGGTATCCGTAATCTTAGGCGTTCCACGTAACAGCACCGAAAACGGTTCAGCCTTTTCGGTGATGATTTCAACATCCACGAATTTCGGATACACTGCATCCAGCTGCGAAGCAACAAGATGAAATTATGTCTGTTGTTAAAGGTATTTATATAAAGCCTATATAACATGCAATAGTAGACTTCTCCGACCCCATAAAGTATATATATTCTTGATCAGCATCGAAAGCCTAGTCCATCCAGCCAAGTTGACCTATAGAACGTATCTACCTTAGAGGCTTTCCTTCTCTTGTTGCACTCGCCTACTGCCTCTGGTATAGCCACACACATTTCAATACTATATTTAAGCTCTGGAAGTTCCCCTAAAGATCGGACAATAAGCTTCGAGGTTAGTCGAGAATGCATATTCCATGGAGTAGGCATACGAGAAAAGTGCATGGTAGTTGGTTTATGTTTTGTAGTGTCAGCTGTGTGCCCGGTACAGGGTATCTGCTAGTCGGGTGCTCACCATTTTCAAGCGTTGGAGGCCGTCCAGCTCGTCGGTGCTGACATAAACGGCTGCAGGCAAAGGTTGGGCCAGCATATACACACAATTCGAGTTCGCGAATGTGTTATCAAACTGCACGGTGTACTTTAGTTTTCTATTTGCAAATCATATTAATTAAACACTTTAAATAACATTTAGGTCATATATAAACCTGTGCATGCCGGCTTCGTCCATTTCAATGCGAATCGTGGGTTGCTGCTGTAAAAAACAGCATACTCCGCTTAACAGCAACGCGGCAATCACATTAAATGCAACAAACGTTGCATATTTGAAACATTTCATGGTTATAAATTAGAAAAAGTGCAAAATTTTTAATTTATTTATCACAGCCAAATGCATAGGACGCAGAGTTGCCAGCTTGCTTTAACACAAAATGTCAATTTTAATTGGCCGGCAACCTAGCATAAAAAATTGGCGCGCAATTTGAAATTAAAAAACCCAAATCGGAAAATTCCATACATTTCTGTAATTTAATTGTAATGAAATGAAGTGTTACATTTTGTTGTTAAACATTTTATTATGTTTTCTTAAAATAAGTGCAAAACTTGTTCATTATTTCGCTGCTGTAATCCAAACATATAGCAGCCAGTGTTGCCAACTTTCTTAAGCGCGAATTGTCAAGTTTTGCATGTGTTGCCAACTTAAGGGAAATATTCCGCGCGTTAACTATAAGTAGATTAACTTAATTTTAAATCTAATTCAATTCTTTATAGTCTTTTAATTTTTGCAATTTAATTCTTTGTATAACTGCGAGCCCTGTCGTGCCAGTTTATCGGCCATTTCATTGCCCTTAATGCCTTTATGCGCCTCGACGTAGTTCTTTAAAAGAGAAACCAGCATTAATTGAGGTATGGTAAATAGTGAAAATAGTTAATAGAACGCACCCAATTTACTTTAATTTCCTTGCTTTGCAGCAGCTCATCCAATTCTTTGAAATCAACCACATTCTTAACAGGTTCCATATTGGGTAAACACCAACCGCGCTTCTTCCAGCCTGGCACCCATTTCGTTATTGAATTGATCAAAAACTGCGAATCTGTGTTGATGCTGAGCTTTTTAATGCCCAAATCCAATGCTGTTTTAATTGCATATATGGCAGCCTGTATCTCGCCCACATTGTTGGTCACCCGACCCAGCACGGGTTTCGCAGCGTTTCTAAAAGGAAGCATTGAGTGGAAAATAAGCCTCGCTTAGCTCTACACTTACAATTGATGATTGTCGCCAAAATAGACGCCGAAGCCGGCGCATGCATCCTTTCGTCCATTGCCGAGGCATGATCCGTCCGTATATACAATCACATAGCCTTCGGCATTCAATGTAAACTCAAATGCTCCGATCTGTTTGAGTGCAACAGGTTCGTCCGCATTGGACATGTGCCTCGGAATTTTGTAAGTACCAGAATTATTACTTTGTACCTTGCGTTTGCGACTGCTCGACTGTGTAGGAAATCCCTCCACCTCATGCATGACTCCTTCCTGAAGAGCATAGATATTAGTATTAAAGGAACTCAGCTGCTGCGTCACCTATTTACCAGATCTTCGTCCGTGACCTCTTGTGATTCGACAACATCTTCCGGCCAAAAATCTTTGGGCTTTGCTTCATGCCGCTTCTGCTCATACTCCTGACGAGGTGCCCAACTGGCTGGCGGCGGCTGCCTTTGTCCGAGAGCCACAGCCACTTCATCTGGTGCGTAATTGGCTGTGGCGCCAGCTGGATTTATAAATTGCTCCGCCTCTTGGCGCGTGTTGAACTTCTTGTAAATGGCTCCCTTGAAGCCGTTTACCTGCTGCTGACATTGCGCCCAGTTATCATAAATGCCAACCTGTCGTCCCTTTGCAACTGCATAGTAGGCCATTCTTCGTTTTAATATGCTCACATTATACAGGAGTTGCGAACGCAGCAGCCCAAACATTATGCGCCTTAAGTGTTGGAAAGTGTTGCACAAGCCTTGCCAGATGGTTAAACTATCGTGTTTGTTTTACTATTTTCAAGTGTAGGTTCAAATTAGTTGTCAGATGAATTTGAAAGTTGATGAATTTTTGATTTCTATACTTTTTTGTCTTGTGACTGACCTAGTTGCCACTGTGACACTGTTCATCATCTCTTAGCTGCAACAAGTTGCTATCGGCTGTAAAACTTTACACCAACGCTGTTAGTGTCATGCATCTGTTAAATACACCAACTTGGCCACACTGCACTCCAGCCGAGGACTGTTAACAATGGCAAACACTGGGTAAGAATTCATAGACTTAGAAAATAAGCTAAGTAAATATAGAAGTATATTAGAAAGTTACAGGGTAAAACGCTCTTCATTACGAGCGCATCTCGTGGCATTGGCAAGGCGATTGCTTTGAAAGCGGCCCGCGATGGCGCAAATATTGTTATTGCCGCCAAAACAGCTGAGCCACATCCAAAACTATCCGGCACTATCTACACGGCCGCCGAGGAGGGTAAGTATATGCAATTTAAAAGAATATACAACAATATATCAGGACTTTAACAGTGGTTAGGGCGGGTGGCCAAGCGCTACCCTGTACTGTGGACGTTCGCAATGAGCAACAGGTCCGACGCGCGGTTGAGGCAGCAGCTGCATATTTCGGAGGCATAGATATTGTGATAAATAATGCAAGCGCCATTTCAAAAAGCTCGACACTGAAGACGGATATGAAGCGTTATGATCTGATGCAGAATATAAACACGAGGGGCACGTTTCTGGTGTAAGCGCATCATTTATCAGGGCCTAAGTCTACATTTAACAATTTAACTTCCACAGTTCCAAAGCGTGTTTACCTTATCTGATGAAGAGCGATAATCCGCACATCTTGAACTTATGCCCTCCGCTGAACATGAAGCCCCTCTGGTTCTCCAATCACACCGCCTACGCCATTGCCAAATATGGCATGTCTATGTGTGTGCTGGGCATGGCCGAGGAGTTCCGGGATCGGGGCGTGGCCGTTAATGCTCTGTGGCCACGGACGAAGATTCATACTGCAGCGATTGATATGCTGTATGGTCCAGAGGGTGAATTGTATTCTCGCCACGCAGAGATCATGGCAGATGCAGCATATGCAATAATTTGTCGAGACTCCAAGGCATATACAGGTAACTTTTTTATTGACGATGAGGTTTTATTGGACGTGGGGCTTAAAGTTTTTGGACAATATGCCTGTCAACCAGAAAATATGCACAAGTTAAAATTAGCTTTGTTCATGGAAGATGAAGGTCCATTAGCAAAGTTGTAATGGTCGGTTTGCCAATCATTTGATGGGTAATTTAAATAAATCAATTTTATAGTTTAAATCAGTTTTCAAATGCGACCATATATTTTGAATTTTAAATGTTTTGGTATAATTCAAAATGGTATTTGGTCAATTTGATAACAGAAAAGGGCATATTATTGCCAACAAGATTTGGTCACGCTGGACATCAGCGCTCTTTAGATTAGCAGAATTTGCCAGCAATAACAATGAGAAACACTGGGTAAGACAGTAAAATTAAAGAGTAATAAACAAATGGCAAATAAAAAGTAAATAGAAAATTACAGGGTAAAACGCTGTTCATTACGGGCGCATCTCGTGGCATTGGCAAGGCGATTGCTTTGAAAGCAGCGCGCGATGGCGCAAATATTGTTATTGCCGCCAAAACAGCTGAGCCACATCCAAAATTACCTGGCACTATCTACACGGCCGCAGAGGAAAGTACGTAAATGCACTTTGTATCCCAGTTGGAGTTTGTACTAGTACATGGCCTAACATAATCTGATTGTTATCTTGATATTTACTCGCAGTCGAAAGGGCAGGTGGCAAAGCTTTGCCCTGTATTGTTGACGTCCGCGACGAGAAACAGGTCCAACAGGCTGTGGAAGCAGCTGTTGCCAAATTCGGAGGCATAGATATTGTGATAAACAATGCGAGCGCCATTTCCATTACTCCAACGCTGGAGACGGACATGAAGCGTTATGATCTGATGCAAAACATAAACACAAGGGGCACGTTCCTCGTGTAAGTGAACCCTTTAACTTGCCCAGAAAAAACCATTAATGATTACTTAAATTCCACAGTTCGAAAACTTGTTTACCTTATCTGCTGAAAAGCGATAATCCGCACATCCTGAATTTATCGCCCCCACTGAACATGAAGCCCCATTGGTTCTCTAATCACACCGCCTACACCATTGCCAAATATGGCATGTCTATGTGTGTGCTGGGCATGTCCGAGGAGTTCCGGGATCGGGGCGTGGCCGTCAACGCTCTGTGGCCACGGACAACTGTTAATACGGCGGCTGTGGAAATGTTGCAGGGCTCGGAGGGTGCGTTGTATGCTCGCAAGCCGGAGGTTATGGCAGATGCAGCATATGCCATAGTTTGTCGCGACGCCAAGGAATACACGGGCAATTTCTTTATTGACGATGAGGTTTTATTGGATGTGGGTGTTAAAGATTTTAGCAAGTATGCGTGCCACCCCGAAAACATGCACAAATTGCAATTGGATGTCTTTTTAGACGATGAAGGTCCATTTGCAAAGTTGTGATTGTAAATGGTTACCGTAATACTGTTATGTTGAGCGAAATGCCTAATAATTAAAAAATCAGTGAACATTTAATTTTAGCTTGGCGCCAAAAGTTGGCAGCATACCGATATCGGTATATCGATAAGCAGAAAATACCGATGAAATTGTGTCAGTATTTTTCGCGCTCTGCGTACATTCGCTATAAATATCGATACATTAATCGGCCCTGGCTGACGGCAGAAACCACTAGTGGCTGACCAGTTCAGTTGAACAAGTTCGCTAACAAACAACGCAAGAACATAGAGGGACGCCTACATGTGCCAAAATGAGAAGCGAATTTTATTTGTTTTTACTGATTTTTGTGTCAAAAAATGTGGTTGAATCGGCGAAATTAAATCATCCGCGCGTTCTGCTGCCCATATTTCAAGACAAATCCATCAATTTCACGCTGGAAGTTGTCGATCCCAACTGCTACAAATGGTGCGTCTGCCGGGAAACCTGCGCCGGTTTTTATAACCTAAAATTGCAATTGGTTGATGAATTTTTTGCCTACATTTTCAGGACTTCATCGCGTCAGGATTTGATAAGTGTTACTCCCGTTTACAGTGGATTCAGCGAGTGCGCCAGCCAGGCAATTGTTACCGTACAGACACGTGAAAAACGCCGCAATACGGCAATTGTATTCGCCGAGGAGGTGGCCACCGGCGCGACGCTCCGCTGCGATGTGATAGTCGATACGATTGACCGCCTAAATGTGCGCACAGCCACGCGGCAACTGTATCTGGAGGAGGCGCCAGCCACTTTCGAGCTGCACGCATTCGATTCCCAGGGCAATGAGTTCTTTACGCTGGAGGGCATTGAGTTCAATTGGGATATATCCGCTTCGAGCAGTAATATGCCGCCTGCTCTGCGTTTTCTCACCTTCTCGGACAGTCCGTTTCATGTGGTGCCGCCGGCACTGGAGAAATTCGAAGCGGCTGGAGTTAAGGGCTACATGATCTTGCTGGAGGGCATCAATACGGGCACCTCCAAGGTGGCTGTCAGCATGCCGCAGCCGGAGTACAGGCATGTGCCGCCCATTGAGGTGTACATCAGTGTGTTGGCCAACATCATTATTGAGCCATCTGAGGTGACCATCATGGCGGGCGATACCATCACCTTTCGCATTCTTCAGCTCAAAATGGACAGATTGCATGATATAACTGCAAATCGTCAGTACTTTCTCGAGGTCGAGGATGAGAATATTGCCTACCTGAAGAGCAGCAGCGTCACAGGTTCACGTTTGGGACGCACCCAAGTCTTTCTGCGGGATCGCAATATGCCGCAGCAGGGCGACAGTGCGTCCGACAAGCCGAAAGGACCCAGCGCTTTATTGACCGTGGCGGAGCCCCAGAAGCTGGGCATAAGTCTGCTGCCGCACAATAACTGGATTACGGTAAAAGGCGAACGTCACGAGGTTGCCCTGGATCTGTTTGCCAGTGATGGGCAAAAGATAACCCTGGGCACACGCTACAACATCGGCTCCGAGCTGGATGAATCCTTGTTTACGATTCTGAAGAAGACGCGCAATGGCAGCCGGCTGTACGGCGAGGCGATCAGGCAGGGTTCCACACAAGTTTATGGCTCCTACAAGGACGTAAGTATAGGTTTATATGTTAATGATGGCCTACTAATTGAAGACTTCTTGCAGCTCTCGGTGCAGGCAGAGATGCAAGTCTTTGAGGAGCTCGTTTTGCGGCCCACCAAAGTGATTCTGCCCTACGATCCAAACACTGTGAAGCCGCAAAAATTCCAATTTTACGCAATTGGCGGCGATTACAACTATATGTGGTACTCGGGCAATCCGCAGGTGCTGCAAATCGATGGCCAGGGCCTGGCCACAACGGAAATACGTGATGTGCGCATGCCCGGCGTATCCCAGGAGCTAATTGATGCCGGCGTTCAGCTAGCTGCGCATACCACAGTGCGTGTCGCGTTGACCAAGAACCAGAAGGTTTCACGCCAAGCACAGATCTACTTTTTGCCACCAAAGCGCCTAGAGATTAAGCAATTCAACTTCGAGACAGCGCTCAGGGATTATGTGCACCTTCATGTGGCCGTCTATGCGCATGTGAATGGCAGCTATGTGCCTTACACGAAATGCGACAATTTGCATTTCCAGCTGGACTTTTCGCATCAGATATTACAGCTGGAAAATGGGCCTGTGGCCGACACACAGGAACAACTCGCGCCGGAGGCATGCCATGTGTTGCGCCTACGCAGCACCGCCGTGGGTAGCACCTTGTTGCGCATTTCCTATAGCTTCCAGGACAAGGTCTTGCAGGACTCTGTCGATTTGCATGTATACGAACCGCTGTCTGTGCTCAATCCGCTTGAGAACGAGATAATCCTGCCCATTGGCGCTTCACGTAATGTTATCTATGCGCATGGACCGCAACGCATCTTTACGCTTGAGGCGGAACTCACCAAGGAAACCAAATATGATGGCAAAATTATTAAAGTCTCCGAAATAGAGTTCGATACGCAGAATGCTCTAACGGCTTTCACTGTGCTGTGCCGTGAGCTGGGCAAGACGGAGTTTACGTATCGTGTTCACAATACGCTGGCCACGCCCAGCTTTGCCGCCTACCATGCCGAGGTGACCACCAAAGTGCACTGCGTTCGTCCGCGCTTCCTCAAGCTCTATGCACGTCAGCAGCTGCGCCAATCTTGTCCCGTGGAGCTGCGTTCCTCGCTGCTGTATCTCAAAGAGGAGGAGAACAAGTTTAATATTGAAATCGAGGTGCAGGATGTCAAGAATCGCAAGCTTATGAACATCAGCTCGTTGTGGCTCGAATGGGAGTTTGCCGCGGGCGATGAACGCTATCAAACCGACAGCATACCCCACCAGCAGCTGCCCGAAGTGGAACTCTATCATGGCGTGCGTCTGCCCGCCCGAGATGTGCTTGTTCTGACCCTAAGCGAAGTGGCGCCCAACTTTCGCATCAAGGGCACAGTTGCCCACTACAACGATAAGCTGCTCGCTCAGCAGGGCATACACGCAGAGCGTCCTCCATTTGGTGTCAAGAATGTGGGTATACAAATATATTCATATAAATATAATTACAATTAATGTATGCAATTGGCCTTACAGCTGAAGACGGGTGAGGCAACCAAGCCTGTGATTGAGAATGAGATACGCTTCCATACGGTGAATAGCACGCTGTTGCCAACAGATCATGTCAGCATTTATTTGGCGCCTTCGCACAGCGAACGCATACCCATCGCCCAGGGAAGCGGCTTCTTTCAGCTGGAGCTCTCCGAGCAGGGCATTGTGCAAGTTACCCATGATGAAAATCTGCAGCAGCTGGTGTTGACCCCATTGCGTTTGGGACATGTGCGACTGGAGCTAACGGATCGCTGCCTGATGAACGAGCCCGCACATTTGTCCATCTCAGTCGTGGGCATCGGGTCAATAAGTGTGCTCGCTTTGGATCGCGTCGAGCGCACCAATTCCATTGAGGCCATTGTGCGTCTGTTCGACACGAATGACAATCTGTTGCACATTGATTCCGATATGCTGAGCGTCTATCAGCTGTCCGAACTGGTCTTTGATACCACCGTACTGAGCGTGAGGCTGGATGAGCAACATAATTTGGGTGTGGGCGAAATACGCTACAGCATAACGGGCAACAACATTGGCGAGACAAAGATCGTGTTTCAGTCGGGCAAGGGCGAGCGTCAGGTATCTAGTGAGCCGCTCAATGTGCAGGTCTTTGCGCCCATCCGGCTTTATCCACGCAATTCAACGCTCGTCGTTGGTTCCAGCATACAAATCTTCTACCAAGGCGGGCCGCAGCCCAACACAAACATAGTCTACAGCGTCCAGCAACAGCATGTGGCCAGTAAGTTGGCATCGATATCTTCTAAAGAATTCGTATTAATCTTTCTTCTTACAGCCATGAGCTCTGCTATTGTCACTGCACATAAGCTGGGCTTTACCCGGATAACTGGCCGCTGCCTGCTCAAGAATCCCATTAATGGCAAGGATGAGATCGTCTCGGAGGATACAGTGGAGGTGCGTGTCGTTGCCCTGACTGCCGTGCAACTCCGCACGCCCCTCGTGCGCATACGCGCCGGTGCCGTCATGCCTGCCACGCTGTGGGGTCAACCGGATCTGTCGCCCATGGTGCTTGGCACTCTAGAGAATATGCGCATTAGCTGGACAGTTAATCAGGCGGATGTTGTTGAGATCTTTAACGTGTTTACAGCAGCGGGTGAGTTGTATATTCTAGAGTATTTACGTAGTAATTAAAGCGTGCACAGATACCGCATTGTTGCGCAGAGATTTCAGCTCAATGCCCACCAAGTGCACTCATAACAAACAGTTCTCCGATGAGCTTGCATGGTTGAGTTCCAGTGCAGGAACAGATACGGAACAAACATGTGTTCAAGTCGTCTTAAATCAACTGGGCATATAATGGTATTAAAATTTATGCAGAACCTGGTGATGTTGCAAAGTTTAGAAACTATAATAAAAATCTTAGCTGATCCCTAGAACCAAAAAAAAAAAAGGTTGGTTGTTTGACCACATTAAGGCTTAAAAAAGGGTGAATAAATTCAGATAAGTTAATTTTGGGCATATCCAAGTTAATGTAGCTGGTATATATAATTTATGTATAAACATTTTCCACCTCACACACAATCCATTTGTTCGTTGCTCTCACTAATTCGTACGTCTTCTTCCCCCCGTTTCAGGCATAGAGTACCAAAGTAGCGATTTAATTTCTGTGCGTATACGCGCACTCAATCCCGGCAAGGTTACCATTACGGCCTCTGTTCATTTGCCGGATGGCGTCAAGCTGCCAGCGTCGAGCGTCGAGCTAATTGGTAAGTATTTAAGTGGCCCAATAGACCACAAGCCCATTTGGACTAGTTGTTGGGTGTTGCTCGTATCAAGAGAACCGAAACGAACCGAACTGAACCGCAAATTGAAATTGTTATCGCCACAGTTTTCAAAACACTGGAGCTGCACGCACCAAAGCCGATAACAATGGACTGGATTTTGGCGGCGCCACGCAGTACGCTTCAGTTGAAATGTAATATGGATGATG